TGGGGAGGTGGTTTTTTGTCCCCAAGAACGTTCAGTGTCCTGGAAGGAGTGGCGCCTGGGGACTCCATAGTTCTCCTGGGGGACTTAAATGCTCACGTGGGCAATGATGGTGAAACCTGGAGGGGCGTGATTGGGAGTAATGGCCTGCCTGATCTGAACCCAAGCAGTGTTTTGTTTTGGACTTCTGTGCTAGCCACGGATTGGCCATAGCAAACACAATGTTCAAACATAAGGTAGAATATAATAATGTCCCCAACATAAATAATGCAAGCACACACGCGTTTTTACCTTTTTACTATATAAGATTTTGTTTTTGTGGGGACCCTCACTGCCATATTGCATTCTTTAGCCCTGTACTCTACCCTAAAGGGGCCTCCCATGGTAAAAATTATGTTTTTTTGTTTTTTTTTGTAAATGTTGTTAGCACATCCATATGGTGCTTTAAAGCCATGGCTGAGCATTTCTACCTTGAAGTTGCAGTGTGTTCCAAGTTTCAACTAACCAATCTTGTCTACTTGCACGGTGGTGTTTGCTGCCTCGTTATTGTTCTTCAGGCTTGCATGACTGAATCTCTTCAGTATTACAACTAGCCACTGCATAGCGCTGAATAGTTTTACAGTGTTTGAGCAGAGTCATAGGTGAGCTGGTGTGCTCAAGCTGCAGTGAGTAGGAATGGGGTGCAGGGAGAGAAAGGCGGGTGCTTCGTAGTTCTGTGCATTTTTAAGGGGGCATTGGTGTACATCTCATTTTGACCCAGGAGGAGATTATTTTACTAAATTTTCTGACTTCCATACACAGAGGGGAGTTTTTAGAGGTTTAATCAGTGACTGGAGATGGACTTTAACCATCACAACTGAAGCCAACCCTGACCTAGATCTGATTCTAACCTGAATTAAAGCTGAGAAAACAAAAAACAAGTCCACTAACAGCCCTCCGAAGATAAACCTGAAAGTGAAAAATATCCTCACTGCGATGGTTTTGAACAATTTGTCCTATAAGTACACACACAGGTACAAGCATGCAGCCTTTAAATAGCACCTCTACCACATTCAGTGTGTACAGGAGAGTCGAACACTGATGCGGTCCATCCAAGCATAAAGTACACATATGTAACTAACAGACTATTCTGTAGGGGGCGAAAAGACAGCGAAGGGAGATGAGGGTGAGACGCAGATTTACATAGAGAGAGGGGTGAGACAGGAAGTTGGAGACAGATGCAGTCAGAGTGTTTCTCTCATTTGTCCCCTGTGCTGCCTGCATTATAAATGTCTCTCTTGTAGCTAATTAGCATAGGCATGAATATATTACAGTAACCTTTCCACTGACACTATTTGTAGTGTTCCTGCATTCTGGCGCAACGTGCACGTGAGCTTTTGTGTCAGAGAACGAGTGACGGAAACGCATCAGGCATTTGGATTTATTTGACTCCTATCACTTTGCATCCTAATGTGTGTGCGTGCATGAGCCCGTGTGTGTGATTCATTGGACTCCACGGTCAGAAAGTGCACCAGCTTTCTCCAATTAATGCTGGTGGAGAGCAGAGAGCCCTTTAAATGTGTGTGTGTGTGTGTGTGTGCCAGTGCATGCATATTGTTAATAAGTAGCTCACTTGAGAGTAGAACATTTCACATTTGTTAGTTGTGGTGGCAGAAAGCAGACACCATTGAGTCTGAGGGGACAGGAAGGCCATTTCCTTATTTATCACAGTCATGCCGGTGGCTGCCTGTGCGCCACAATACTTTGCAATTATGGAGACAATGTCCTTTACTTGGGGACAGTATCAAGGATGGAATAAAGAGGGGTCAGTGAGCCTCGCACAGCACAGCTCACATTCAATACTCCAGTGTGACGTATATGAGGAGAATATCAGCTAATTACTTATCTGACAGCGAGTTTAATGGCTGCAGGTCGGGTAAAACTTTTAATAAACTTTAGCGTGAAGCATGACACAGCATTAGACAAGCCTAATGAAATTACCTTCCTTTTCATTATCGAGACGGAAAATATCTGAATGCTTGTTTTTGTTAAGTAAAAAACATCCTACACAAATACAATGATCCTACTGATGCAGGATTCGAAGAAACTCTTTTTTTTCACTTCAGTAGCCTCATAAAATGAATGCATTACAGGGTTTTTTGTAGTGTTTGACAGTGAAGCCTCCCCGGGGCTGCTGATGGGAAAGATGTTTAAGCCTTACTGAATATTTCACTATCAGAACTAAATAGAAAGACACAGATGTTTAAATTGTTTGCTTCAAGCACTTTTTAAAGCTGGAGTAGGCAGAAATTTGGGGAAGGGCCCTGAGTTGCTATGTATAGGGTGTGTTCCAGTATCAAACTTTCATATTGCATAGTACACCAGAAAAACGCTTTGTATGTCCCAATACATAGTATGTGAAGTGTTGCTTGCAAAAAATACCCAGATGCTGGACTACAGCTGGTAGACCAGGATGCTTTTCAGGCCCTTCTTCATAGGTCGCCTGAGTAGGAGGTTGCACAGACAGACAAGTCATTTTACTGACTGCATAATGCCTGAGACAGTACTGTGTGATGGCAGCTGTAGTATGCACCTAAATAGAAAAAGTATGTGATAAAGAAAGCAGCCATAGTGTCATACCTGCTCTGCGTAACCAGTCATTTACCGTCACAGGTTAGATTCTCTCAAGTATGACTACGAAGCCAAGAAGAGATACAAAACACTAGCTTCCTCTGAAACCCCATGAATCACAATATGCTCTAATGATTGCCCAATGAGGCCTAAATACTGCTTACCTCTTCTTTAATAGCGACTGTACAGGAGTGTAATTTGAACGAAATGTAACAACATTCAATGATCCTTATAACCATGCTTGTGTGAAATGTCTCCATATCGATCTAATTTTAGCATTTAGAACTCCTCAGGTGAAAATCCATTTTTTTGTCTGTGTTACCACATCCCTATATGTCAGCGGTGTAGTGATGACAGTATTGAAAATTGAAAACAGATTTGGACGTCAATGGTTCCACATGAAACAAACATTAGGAACCAATCCTGTCACGTTGCAGAGTGAAGCGTGTTCCTCCGCAGAATCGGTTTCGGGTTCAAACACCTCCAGCTAAGTCCACTCCAGTATTATAGATTGCCGTTGTGTCGCACAGAGTAGTTTTCTAGTGTTTGAGTAAAGTCATTTGTGAGCTGGTGTTCCTGAGCTGCAGTGAGTGGAGAGAGAGGCAGGCACATTCTAAAAGCAGCAACAGCATAGCTACATCTGTCATTTAAAGGCAGGAAGGGGACTATTTTCAAGGAAAAAACTTGAAGAGAGACTTAAATATCCCTTAACAATGGACTTTGGCTGATGTCAAACATCCATCTTCGCTTGCTTTTGCCAGGATTTTTGTAGTTTTCAGCGCCGGATGTGTCTCACTTCCTTCTGCACTTTCAGCACAAATTATGTACGATAAAATCTGTGTACTGTAATATTTAATATTCTGTAAACTTCCCATTTGTTATTTACCACATTCTGCCAAGATATCCAGACATTTCCTATGTTTAAATCTTTTCCTCTTGAGATGTAAGCAAAAATAGGTCTGGGTTGCAAGTCATCGCTCGACAAATGGATGGAATTTGTAGTAAATGATGAAATACAAGGAAAATCTGGGGGGAAAAAATAATCTCTTGTGTGACTAGCTTTATGCGTGTATCCGTCACTGCTCTTTAGTTTGTGTCATTTAGGCTAGTTCAGTTTAATTCCCCTTTCCAGTGTTATAATCGGAGGGAAACAGTGCTGTGAAATCCAACTATAAAATGATATTAACACACACACACGGTTTGGTTTATGACTAATGTGTTGAGGCTAATTCTTGTAAACTCCTGAGGACTTCTCTGATGTGGAAACAGTTGATTTAGACACCCAGGTTTCAACAGCCCGCTGTCCTCCATGGCCGGCTATATAATGGGGAAATTATTCCTGTGAGTAATGTTTTTTTTCTTTTGGAAAGAGCTCGAGAGTGTTTCCAAGGCTTAGATGCGGAGAAGAAAAGAAAACATAAATAGCTACACATTTAAAGTGAAGTGTTATTGTCAGGCTCTCCATTCATCTTAGTCCTGCAGCTTTTCTCTGCCTCTCTGTGTCTGTACCTGAATATTAGCTGACTGATTGAGTGTAGTTGGATTTGTCATGCCCTCTGGTCTATTTCATACACACACACACGCTCAGAACTCTGTCATACATCACAGCTTAAAGGCTTATAGAGTAGCTACTCTAGTATCTTGTCAGCTTTCTGACTCATGACAAGGTTTTCAATTTTCCCTTTTTCACCTGACTGCACTTTACAGCTCTGGTCCTCTTTGCCGGCTGACTCCCTCCCTCGCTCTTTCTCTTTCTCTCATCTTGCGTCATGTCTTGTTCTTTCTGACTGTGCCTCTCATAAGAAAATGAAATTAGTTAGACACAGGCCCCGTTCACGAGTATTGAAAACTATATCACAGTACAAGTATTCACTCAGAGGGTTTTGTAACGTGCCTGTGTGTCGTAAGGGAGAATACGCGCTGGGATTTTCTTATAGATTTCATTGTGGTCCTTTTTTTTTTCAGCCTAGGAGATGTAATCATGCAATGTTTGGCGCCTAATCTAATTATAATACATTAAATTGCTGCCGGTCTTTCTCAATCGCGCAGTTGCACTTGTGATTTAATAATCCATGAAGGATACTGACCTGAGTCTTCCAGTGTGTCATCACTGGTGTTTGTGTCACAGCATGAACCCTGTTTTCATTAGCACCCATCAGTGTACTTCTGTGCACATTCAGAAACCCCACCGAGTTGATATATTACCATTTAATGCTGAAGATATTTGATTATTAAATGTGGAATCTTATTCTTCTCGCCATCCACGCCGTTCACTCTACTTTGTGTTGTGTGTTAAATATGTCTGTTCAGTGTGGGAATGGCTTGTTTTGAATGTGGTGTTTAATCCTTTTCAACCATTGTGACCTTAACTCGCTTTTTATGTTTGCCTTCAGGGTCGTCATGTCAAGACGGGTCAACTGGCAGCTATTAAAGTCATGGAGGTCACAGAGGTAAGAGTGCATTGCATTACATCACACACATAAATTCCTTTTTCACTCTCTCTGCTCTTAGTTTATCCATTCCTATTCTGTCTCCCATGTCTTGTGGATGCTAAAGAGGAGAGCTCATGTATTTTCATTCATTCTCCTCTGACGTAATATTTGTTTTACAGATCAAAATATTTATTTAAGTTATAGTGACCCGATACATTGGCTTCTTAAATTCATCTATACATGTTCCAAACTATGTAAGCAGGCAGCACCAACATCCCACCGAGCAGCCTGAGCAACAACGTAAGCAGCAAGCCTATAGAACAAGCAGCTGTTTGCAGGAATGCATGAACTATCTGGGGAAGTGGAAGCAACATTGCAAATGAGGCATCCAGAGCAGTCCGAAGCCAAGGCGTTGGAGTTGTAGAGGGAGTTTTTACACATTTCAGCTCCAAATTTGGTCCTAAAATAAATACAAAAGAAATTGCAGTGAAGCTGAATGAGCATTTCAAATTGTAATAGATGAAACTTGAAATTATAGGACAGAGTCTGGTAGTAACTCACCGGTAATCAATGTAACCTGGGTTTTGACAAAACGTTAACAGGAGCTGAAGTTTGTTGCTTCCAGCTGTTTGTAGGAGTTTTTCCTTTTAGTTTCCTAAAAACAAGCAACAGGATCCATATTCTTTAAATCGAGAGATTAGCGTGCATTTACACATGGCACAACAGCAGTCGCTTCACTAATTACTTAATGTTATAAATCATCCTCGACATGGCGACAGGAAGGATCAGCTTTCAGACAGGTGAGCGGTTTATAAGCTGCAGTTAAATCATGTGTTGCAGAGCGACTGTCTTCAGTTTGACAGCTGTCAGGATAATTTTGTTTTACTGTTGGTAAAAGAGGGGCTGCAGGGTGGCGCAGTTGGTTAGCACTGTTGCCTCACAGCTAGATTCGGTTCGCGTCCCGGTGAGGACACCCGGGATCTATCTACGTGGAGTTTGCATGTTCTCCCTGTGCAGCGTGGGTTCTCTCCGGGTTCTCCAGCTTCCTCCCACAGTCCAGAAACATGCTGAGGTTAATTGGTGATTCTGAATTGTCCGTAGGTGTGAACGTGAGTGTGCTTGGTTGTCTGTCTCTAAGTGTAGCCCTGTGATAGACTGGTTACCTGTCCAGGGTGTCTCTGGCCTTCACCATGAGTCAGCTGGGATAGACTCCAGCCCCTCATGACCCTAGTGAGGATTAAGCGGTGTATAGATAATGAATGGATGGATGGATGGATGTTGGTAAAAGATGCAGTTGGATAACATCTCATCCTGACCGAATTTTCAGTGATTAGGAGGTCATACATATACTAGGCTGCTAGTTATTTGGACAGTTTGATAAGCAGCTGTTAGTTGAGGTTTAGTACTTTTATTTTTGCATTATTATGCTTTTCACATCACTTGATGTACCGTGTAAATGCACACATATCTCCCCATCACTGTAATGGGTATGTCTGAATACAACCATCAGTATACTCCCACTTTAACAGACTGATGAAGCCACCGATGCTCACTATTATTATGGAAATTACACATGATAAGCTCATATGACGCACATATGATAATACTGCAGCTAAATGACCATTTTTTTCTGTGTAGGAGAACATTTACACAGACTCAGTTACAGAAATTTCAAAATGCCAAAAACTTCTAGTCTAAATTTAAACACTCCTAAAACACCCAAAAAGGTGTCACAGAGGAATCTTGTGGTGGATTTCTAGTACTTGTAAAATCTTTCACAAGAAAATAATTATGCTTTTTTACATTGTGCTGGCTTATTGTAATGCAGTGTGTTCAAGCACTTAGTAGTGGTGTTTATTTCAATTTGAAATTCAGGGTGAAGACAGCAAGTTGTACAGTTTAAGAACATCCAGAGAAATAAAGAGACGAGAGTCAGTGCAGCCATAAATATTATAATGAATTACAGAGAGAGGACTGTCACAAAATGGTCATGATCTATACAGAAATGGATATAATTAGTCACTTAGTTTTAAGGCACCAAGAAGTGTTAGTAGAGTATTTAGAGATCTTCCTCCCTTGGTTGAAATCTGTTTTATTGCAAAGACAAAATGCAAAGTGTAATTGGACAGATGTATTCCCTTTAAACAATTACAAAAAAAAAAATATTGCAGCATTGTCCGATGTTTGTAAAAGTGAAAAGGTTTTAAAACTCATTATTAGACTCAACAACTGGCTTTACAGCGTTCCTCTTCTCTCTCCTTTCCCCATTCAACTCTCTCTCCCCACATTCAGCCACTTGAAGTGATGGAACTATTACAATAATTTGACAGCCTCTCCTTAAAATACACCCTTGCAGCAAGGATCAAACAGGAATCTACTTTAATATACCACCAGCCTGACAAAATGAAATTACAAGAAGTACTCTACAGTTCTCAGAGTTCCACCAATAATTCTTGTTTTGACCCAGAAGTAGGTTTTTTTTTATTAGATTTCAGGCGAATTTTCGTGATATTAAACTTTGCTCACCTTACTGTTTTTGAGCTACAATGTTGGCTCATTTTGGAGATATAAAATATTAATAACTTATTGTACTGTAAATCAATTTGATGTTAAAAAATCTACCTGAAGCTGTGTTTTGAATATCGGTGGCTGCGCTATGCTTGCAGTCTAGAGATGGATTAAAGACTTCCCGTTTAACACTTAGTTTGGGTCTAAATGTGGAGATGATTTGACTCGAAAGTATTTTGCCTTGTGGTGTTACAGCAGCATGTCAGGACAAAACTTCTGAAATGGGAAAGTTTAAATATTTAGTGATGTAGAGCAACAGCGGTAGAATAGTTGGTTTACCATCAGCTGTACTGAAAGCTTGCTGCTGCAGGTTGTGAGGTGTTCTGGTCTCGGTGTAGCAAAGCAGTGCTTGACCTCAGTGTCTCTGAAGTGGTCAAAGTTTGTTGTTTTTAAATGTGCTCTATAAATAAATTGACTCGACCTTTACATTTTATGTAAAATATAGCACTAAAACCACACTTACCATACTTCCTCTAATAAAAGCTGCATAGTTGGGTCTCTGATGATGGCTGGAGGGGTGGTCGTGTTTCACAACAAAAGCCTTGTTCAGAAATTATGTTCACTAAAATGCCAGGACTTTTAATTTGAAATGGTCGTACCCTATTGTCACTGCATTGTCCAGAGTGGCATGTCAGAAAAGATCTGGGTTTGTAGGGTAGACTCAGCATGAAAGATGGATGTAGCAGCCGTGACATGAAGCTTATCCTGCTTTATCGACTCCTTCACTCTAAATGGAGCCATACGAGGTGTGTCAGAAAAGTTCCACGACTGGTGTACAAACTACCAGTTTTCCCCTTCAGACGATCAACCAGCACATCTACAAAGGGATCCTTTTGCTTCGTTCAGTGAAGAGACCAGAGTTGTGTCAAGACAAGTCGTGGCTGCTTCACCATGACAGCACGCCTGCTCACAACGCCCTGAGCATCCGACAGTTCCTGACTGAGAAGAACATCTTCGTGCTGGAGCAACCTCCCTACTCACCCCACCTGGCTCTGTGGGATTTATTCCTCTTCCCCAAGCTCAAGGGGGTCATCAAGGAGACCCGCTTTGAAGACTTGGACGACATCAAGATGGCTGTGACGACGGAGCTGAGGAGGATCCTGAAGAATCCTTCCAACAGTCCATGGCGGCGTGGCAGAGAAGGCTGGGAAAGTGCGTTAGACTCCAGGAGGACTACTTGGAAGGGGAAAACTTGTAGTTTTGTGACACCAGTCCTAAAACTTTTCTGACACACCTCGTACATACATACATAGATAGATTAATGAATAGAAAGAATGAGAAGACAGACTTAATACTAATGTAAAGTCTTGTCACAGGCAGTCCTAGGAAATTATTCTTTGTGAATAAAATGATAAAACTGCATCACAAATTGGTCTCTACTTCTGCTCTCTATGCTGTTGACTGGACTGTGGATCGTCTTTGTTTCAGACAAACTCTTTAGCAGGAAATGCTTGGCTATTATCTGCCTTCTCTCTCTCACACACACACACACACACACACACACACACACACACACACACACACTGCAGCCACTGGCAGGAGGCTTTGTGTTTCAGATGGAGGTGAAAGTTCAAGCTCTGCCTTGTCATTTTCTCCCGTCCTGTCCTGTGGAGATTTAAAGGAGGGCACTGGCTGGGAGAAGCTCTCCGTTGTTTCCTCTTTTCTGATTAACAACCACATCCAGCTCCTCCAGCTCCACTCTCCTTCCTCCACCTCTCCTCTGCTCCCCTGCTCTCCTCCAGGCCACAGTAGATTTAGGGGTTCAGTGAATTGGAGAAGTCACAAGTCATTTCCGGGATTTATAGTGAGAAAACAGAAAGCGCCGCACTGTTTCCTCTGCTCCTGCTTTTTGTCCTTGCGTCTCATAACATCGACCAACCTTAGTTGTTTTGTTGAGGAATGGGAGTTGTTGAATTAAGGTCCAGTAGCTGGGTGAAGGGTCGTCTGGAGGTTACGCAGCAGTCTGATTGGAGGAGCTATCTGTCTGGATGTGTTTGTGTTGTATGGACTCTTGTAATAAAAAAGAAGTTTTGCAAAGTGCCACCTTTAAACCTTTTTTAGATAAACCTCAGCGCACAAACAAGATTCTAAAGCAGAAGGTTGACACTTGTATAATAGGCTCTGTTACATCTAAGCTGCTCGGAGAAAAATAAAGTAGAAAAGTTATTCCAACTTTGAAGCATCACACCTTTCTGCCGTGTGTTGCCATTTAAGAAGTCCATAAAATGCCTGTTCATGTTTTGATCACTTGTAGTTAGATTTCTTCCATGTCTGCTCTTGTGTGTAGGAGGAAGAAGAGGAGATAAAGCTGGAGATCAACATGTTGAAAAGTTATTCCCACCACAGAAACATCGCTACGTATTACGGTGCCTTCATTAAGAAAGGCCCTGCTGGACAGGACCACCAACTCTGGGTTTGTGAACTACTCAGCTTTTTATTGGTTACTGTAATTGAGTGAAAAGCAATGAAATGTGTCATTTTGTTATAAATAAATGTCCCCTCTGGGTTTTTTTTCATTATAATTAATTTATGCATTTAATTTGAGAACATAACACAATAAGATTTTTTGTTATTTTGAGCAATGGTGCATGTTTAAAGGACATCTCTGTCTCTCTTTGCCCATCTAGTTAGTGATGGAGTACTGTGGAGCTGGCTCTGTGACAGATTTGGTGAAGAAGACCAAGGGGAACTGTTTGAAAGAAGACTGGATCGCATACATCTGCCGAGAGGTGCTCAGGGTAAGATCAGCATTAAAAAAAATAAATGCACAAGCACAGCACTCACACACAGCTATAACCGATAGTAGCTAACTAACATTTTATAAAATGAATCTGAATTAATTTCATTCATGTTTTGGAAGTTATCACCAACTGCACCTAGATGTGTGTTTTGTCTGCGGATGTTAAAAGTTATATCTGTATATATTGGTGTAGGAGGAGTCGTTATCTAAGAAGTATTTTTACCACCGACATCTTTTGTGGTTCCCAACTCAAACACGTCAGTCTCTCCAGGACAGTAGTTTTTCTGTTATGTGCAGTCAGTCGTGATTATTTCAGTCAGTTTTATAGTATAGTAGATAACTCTAGATGTTACAATACTCACAAAGCTCTGCCGACTTCTCTGTAGAGATGAATCCAGTCACAGGCACTAATCAGAGCCACAGTACATTTGTGAGACAAGACATTGCGCCATAGTGCATCCAAACCCGACCCAGAAGCCCTGACTGAACTGATTTAAGCTGCTGAATGTTTTCTCGTGGTTCCTCATGGTGTAATCTGTAGTTTTCTCTTGACATTATCACTACACTACGTGGTATTTAGCTCTGGTTGGATCTTTGTTTCTGAGCTGCAAACCGTGAGCCAAGTTTGCATCTACATTTAATGAACATTGCCACCCATTACTGTTGTACAAATATTAGGGCTTCAGCGCATTGAGATAAACAGTCTTCGGTCGGGTGCTGTTTAAACATCGCAGAGCTGTGCAAAAGTAGTTCATCTATCACTTTGTTGTGCATGGCTCTTTAAAAAATATACAAAAAAAATCCACTGTTTGCACCGGAGTCGCCGGTTCGCGTCCCAGTTAGGACACCCAGGATCTTTCTGCGTGGAGTTTGCATGTTCTCCCCGTGCAGTGTGGGTTCTCTCCGGGTTCTCCAGCTTCCTCCCACAAGGTCCAAAAACATGTGGAGGTTAATTGGTGATTCTAAATTGTCTGTAGGTGTGAATGTGAGTGTGCTTGGTTGTCTGTCTCTAAGTGTAGCCCTGTGATAGACTGGTTACCTGTCCAGGTGAACCTGCCTTCACCCTGAGTCAGCTGGGATAGACTCCAGCCCTCCATGACCCTAGTGAGGATTAAGGTGTATAGATGATGAATGGATAGATGGATGTTTGCGCCAGATCCTGTAAAAGCTAAAAGTTCTGCATTTCTCAGCACAAGTGATGAGTCACGACCGACTGAGCTGCAACCAACCGTCATGTGACAACAGTTCTGTGACTTTTCGGATGAACTGCAGGCTGTGTTTGCACAGAGCAGAGAGGAGATGACAAGAGAGACTAAGAGAAAAGTCACAAGTACTCACAAGTAGTAAAATAAATGCAGCACGGCCAAGAAACAATAAACAGTGACAATGTCCTTTTTATATAACCTTTGATATCATCTCAGGACCCCAATTTTTCTCCAATATTGGTAACACCTGTGAGAACTAACCCTAAATAAATCAAAGAAATTCAAGTTTTTTTTATCTTTTTAAATTATTCTTATGTATGGCGATATGATTTTATTATACTGCACAGAACACATTTTATTCCCTCTCCTTCTAGCCACGGTTGTGTTGTTTCCACAGAGGTGCAGAACTTAATATTGCAGTGAAAAATGAGCCCACGGTGAGGAAAAATGTGACCCAAACTACTTGGGATTCAGAGGATTTATTCATCTTGTCTGTCTCCTTTGTACTGGAAAGAATAATGCGTTTATTGAGACAACTACTTTTACACCCCTGCCAAGCAGAATTTGTTTGTCTTTGTCTCGTTCTTCTTCTATTTTGTGTTTTTCCTAAATATGTGCCATTTATATTCAGTTTTTAATGCATAAATTGAAAATGCCTAGCTTTGGTGTTTAGCTTTCCATTAAAACAATCTGACATATTCTAGGGCACTTCCTCACCTTTTGTAGAGATGATTTAACTGGAGGAGTTAACATCCGAATGATGCAAGTGCTCCAGATACCAAACACCCATTATTTCCAACACAAAGAGAGAAAATAGAAATGACATAGCAGGAGGAATACTGCACTACACTGCATACACATTGCTGCTATTGCTTTATTGCTTATGTGATCTAGTAGTTTAATCCTTAATCCTCACATAACTACGCATGAACAAATGCACACAGACAGCGTTGAGAGTAACAAGTAAACATCCTCCTGAGGTGTTTTTTCAGTGAAGGTGCTATCATGCTTCTGCAGGCCAAACTGAAGGCTGAATGTCTTCCTGCTGCCGTATAAGAAACAAGATCCTTCTTTGCCAAAATATCAAAGAGAAGAAGCCAAACGGACTGATTGTTCTTTATGTTCAGGGAGTTATTCTCTCTCATGTTGTCCCAGTGAGACTCAGAGGGAATAATCGATTTATTTTATTTCTTTCATTTGCATACTTTAAAAGACTCAGTTTAAAACACATGTCTGCGCGATGTTATGGTTATCATTATCAGAGATCACAAGGTCCTGAGAAAGACCGCGGGATGTTTGCACTGCTTTCTGCGCTGGTATTTGTGTTTGTGGCTCTACTAACAAACCTACACATTCACGAGCAGTACATCAACTAAGTTCAAATATAGCTGTCCTCGATGTTGTCATCATTAAGAAGGCAGTGGAATTCATTTTAGGAGTAGAAAACTTGACAGACAAAGGGCTCTGGACTGTTGCCAGTGTTTTCTCTGCTGCTGTCAGCCATGCTGTCTCCTCATTGTTTCAACACCACAACATGCACACACAAACACACACAGACACCACGGTGAAGTCATTGTCTGAAATAAGACTCACTTCCTCTGTTTATTTAACCTCCTTTGAAGAAGCGAGAGCACAAACACACACACACACTGAAACCGTGCCGCTGAGTCGGAGCTACCAGGCCACCTAAAAGCACGGATATCCACAATTATGTTTGGAAGGGGAAAGCAGCGCAACAAGCTTGAAATCCATCCCTCTCTTAATTCAGTATTCCTTCAGACTAGACTCATGATGCAACTATTCTTTGAGGGCGTCTCAGATTTATAGCAGCGGTGGTCATCTGACTGTGTGCTTATGTGTGTGTGTGTGTTATTTGTCTTCCAGGGCCTTTCCCATCTTCACTCCCATCATGTGATTCACCGAGACATAAAGGGCCAAAATGTTTTGCTCACAGAGAATGCCGAAGTCAAACTGGGTATGACACATTGACACATGCACTGTGGTTCCTCAAGCACATGCGCACAACCCCGGGCAGAACGGCAGAACAATCGCACAGTCATGCACACGTACATAAATCACACAACCGCACAACACACTTCATAAATAAGCAAAGGTCGCGGTTGTTTTCGCGCATGAAACTGTCCTACATTTTATGTTCCAGTCGACTTTGGCGTGTCGGCTCAGCTGGATAAGACGATCGGTCGGAGGAACACGTTCATCGGTACTCCCTACTGGATGGCGCCAGAGGTCATCGCCTGTGACGAGAACCCAGAAGCCACATATGACTACAGGGTACTTAGTTACACAGAAGCAGCCACGTTTCTGACAACTATTAATACATATTTAGTGCCATTGATGATGAGCAAGGGTGACTTAGCTTAGAGGACACTGGTTGTTCTTAATTATGAGCGAATGCAGACTGTATGTGACGCTGCCTGACAATCTTGGTCTGCACTTATATAGCACTATCCAAAGCGCTTTACAATGTGTTTCTCATTCACCCATTCACACAAACATGCACCAATGGTGACAGAGCTGCCATGCAAGGTGCTGCCTGCCATTGGGAGCAACTTCGGGTTCAGTGTCTTGCCCAAGGACACTTCGACTGTGGAGAGGCAGGGGATCGAACTGCCAAACTTGTGAGTGGAGGAAAACCCCCCCAACAACCGAACCAAAACCGCCCAAAGAAAAAAAAAAAAAGGGAAAAAAAATTGAAAAAGTAAATTGCAAAAAAAAAAAAACCCGACCTCAAAAAACCTCAAAAAAACCAACTTTCCAACCGCCAACCGAAAAAAAAACAAAAAACCTAAAGTATCCCCAATTTTCTTTGGCAATTCCAACGAAGTAAAATCAACCAAACGCAAGTTGAACGAAAATGGCCCAAACAAAAAAACAAAAAAAAAGTTTTCTGAAAATCTACATACAGAAATGGAGTTATCTGTTCTTGCAAATGAACTCTTCATTTGATTTTGCAAACTATCAACCACATTGAACAACATATACGAGACAGGTTAGGATGAACAGGTGTGTAGCTACGCTCAACTTAAGTCCCAACCATGCTTGTCTTTTAAAGTTTCTTTTACCTGGATAAGATCCAGATGTGATTTCATTGTTTACAATGTCAGGATGTCCATGCAGCCGATGCAGAGAAAGCAGCGTGGCTGGCTGGCGTGGATGTTTTTACATTCTGTTAACACAGGATGTGTTCATGCAGAATGCTGAGTTGCACAAGCGTTGTGCTTGATAACAGTCATAGTAGTTATGCTCATGAAACAAGACAGAAATGAGACAGTAAATGTCATAAATTCCTTCAGGATGCAGTTATACGCACGTAGTACAAGTGATATCTGTTTTGGAGGACACATGGTTGAAATGTCTGTTGTGTAGAGAATCTACAAACTGTATGCAAGTCTCAGTTGTCTAATTGCATTTCCTCATGATTTCCTGAGCTACATGCAAAACAATGTGAGCCCTGCTTCGCTCTACAAGGTGATGCCACATGAGAAAAATAAGAACTTCTGCAATTAGATGAGAATTTTGTTACCAAATTTACAGTTTTGCAAACATGTTAGCCTGCAGGCTGACTAACAACTATACATCAATTTACACAAACACATGGGTGATTCACATTTATGAGCCACTCTCTCACCCACATAGATCATTAAGTGGCTGAACTGGTCAGGGATCAGAAAAACACTACGACAGCCGTGTTTCCATAACATGTTTTTATGTGCATTTTGAAATGTTGCATTAGAAAAGGTTAATGGAAACGGCAAAATTTTAAAATATAAACATCCCTAATTTCGCAAAAAGGTTTTTTACATTCACTGGAGGTAGTGTTTGACTTTTTTTGGGAAAGAGTTAATGCCCCTCATGGGAAATGAATGCACCTTTTCCAAAAGTTTTCATGTCACAAAAATGTAACTCAAATGACTGACATGAGCTGTTAGGAAAGAATAATCACAACTCACCCGAACGAAAATAAGAACCTTCTGATGGCAGTTTGTGGACTGGTTTATTCACTTTAAAGCAGTTATTGGAAATGAGCCTTATTCACATTTTCTTTTATGTTTTTCCCACATTTCAAAACTTTGTTACGAATTCACTTGACAGTTATATGGAAAAATGGCTGATATCAAATTATGCTATCTAGATCAGCTATGTCGAAGTCACTGGAGCTGTTCTTGGAAGCTGATTTAACTTTAATTTTAACTTCCACAGATGTAGGATTTAAGAAAATGTGCAATCAACTATTTACACCTTTTCCACGTCCAGCTAGAATTTGACCTTCTGATGACGTTTAAGCATCAGTTAAGTCTCTTGGACTAATTTGCGCTTTACTTTCTGTGATATTTGGTTGCCATCCAGTCCATCAAAAACTTGCCAAGCGACTACGACTACAGCTGCTTCTGAGCCTGCATCGCCATATTCAACAGACATATTTCCGTAAATATTCATTAGAGAAGTGATCACTGACAGAACATCTTTCAAACAAATCCAAATTCTCTTGTGTGATGCTCGGCAGACTTCATCCAAAATTTTCATCAACATGTTTCCATTCACCCTGACGTACGTTATATCACAGTTCACAGAAACATCCTTAAATTGTTCTGGAAGTGATTAGATATGAACTTTTGGAATCTAGTACATCATTGAAAAGGAATCAACTGGTCCTTTTCTGAAATGCCAGAATTTTGGCTTGAAGTCTAGTTTTTGGAAACCGTTTCTGCGATTCCTGGATCTATCCGTGCACAAACTGATTTACTATTTGAATATAAAGAAGGCATCCAGAGTTAACAGGAAATGAATAGAGCTCAAGCTAAGCTGTGCGTGCGCTTCACTTTTAACCTTTTCCTGTCCGTCTCGTTCTCAGAGTGACCTGTGGTCTTTAGGCATCACCGCTTTAGAGATGGCTGAAGGAGCACCTCGTAAGTTGGAAACACATCCACACATATACCCACAACTGATGTTCATTTTTCTGTTCATTCATTGTGTACGTGTCCTCCTAGGTTTCATCTTTCTTCTGCTTTTCACCACTCTAGCCATCTTTTCATTTATTTCTTCTTTCTGTGCATGGTTCACTCTCACACCGTCTCTCTCTCTCTCTCTCTCGCAGCTCTGTGCGACATGCATCCAATGAGAGCGCTGTTTTTGATTCCTCGAAACCCTCCACCCAAACTGAAATCAAAGAAATGGTAAGCCTGTGAACACACTCTCACACACAGCAGGATGTAGACAGTAGTGTTTAGGTTTTGTCTTCTGAAAACGGGGCTTCTCAGTGGTCTTTGTTGTGGGTTTCATGCATCAAACAATCAGACAAAAGATATTCCAGCACTCTCTTCGGAAACTGAAAGCTAAAAGTCACGGGCATGGCCAGACATGTTAAGATGAAACTTTAGAACCTGTGAGACACGTGGTCTTTCTTTAAACTGGACACACTGGAAGATATAAGTTGTTGCTGCCATTTCGGGGTTTGGTTATCAGCCTCTATCCTGCTAACCTCTCCCTCTCTTCCATATATAATGGATAAGCTTTTTCAGTCTGAACTCTTGCTTGACCTCATGCTGTCTCCCATTCAGTATTAATGTAATCAGAAACACGATTTGATAGGACAGCTTTTAATAGCCCCAAAGTCTGGGGTGCAGTGCTGCCCCGTCCTTTTACCTCCAGGCCTCCCCAAAGGCAGCAAAAATGAGGCAGGAACACACATTCCTCAGTACAGACGGTACACCAGTCGGGTTTTAGGAGCGTCCATGTTGGTCGGTACTGCCTTAAAACTTCAACATCAACTCTACATTCAGGATGTTCGTTGGTGGTACTGCGAGATGTGATTGGTAGTTTGCAGACTTGAGGTGAGTTGCAACACATATTTAAAAATGTTGTGGCCAGTTAAAGATGCTGTCGTGAACTTGGTGTTTTTTTTTATTTTCATTTGTCATATTTCATTGTTGAAAACGTCTTTTCACGTGACTTTAGCCTCACATTCATTCACTCATTATCTGATTTTGAGCTCTTCATTTAGTCTCGCGCTTTGGGACTGCATGTTTTCTGTATTTATTGCTTTTAATTAAAGTGTGATTGTAGGCAGTGCATGAAATATGTATCGCTGCGAGTTTCATTATAAGAAGTCGAGTCAATAAAATCGCTTCCGCCCATTTAACCAAAGCGAAACAGGTGTTGTCAGTTTGTTTGCGGGTGAGCGTGAAATCGCTACTCAGTTAAGGCACTTCCCATTTGTCAACTCAAGATTATTTATAGTCCGCTTTCGGCAAGCCTTTCGACCACAAAGTGCTTCACAGATGACGACTGTCACACATCTGACTAAAAACGATCATAAAAAATGAGTAAAGAAAAAAAAAATGCAAACTGCAGTTTAGTGCCGATGGGTGTTAGCAGCTCTGAAGGCACGAAACTTTCAATTAGTGGTTGTGGATTTACAGAATTGCTTTTACTCATTAATGTTGCATTGGATGAGCAAGATTTAATCATGTCAAGAATAACATAACGCTTGTTATCAAACCTAGTTTCAAGGCTCTCAATATTTTATGAATTAAAAGCATACTGAACAGATATACGTACAGTATACAGTCCACAACAGAACTGATATCCCTATGCGAGATTATTTAAATGTCAGATGATTCAATGTTGTGTAGTAAGTACTCTAAGTTGAGCTTTAAGGTGTTTGCTGGTATGCAAAACTAAGATCTTACAGTGTGGATTTCCTGTATTAAAAATACAGGCCCCATTGTAGGAAGTCGGTGCAACCAAAGAGATTCAAAATTAAAGTTTTTCAGTCGTTCATATGTCCAACTCTATTTTTAACGACACACTCAATCATCCTCGGCTTGGAGGACATCAGTGTTTAACAAATTTCTGCATAGATGTTGTTTAGAGACTTTTTTCAGCTGCTCTTTGCTGAAGGAGTTGTGTTGTTCTGCCTATCATTTTAAAATACCCCAGAAGTCTTCTAATGGATTCCGGTCAGGCAGCATACTTGTCTAGGCCATGGTTTTCACATTTTACTGTAGAAACTCTTGTGTGATTTTGGCAGCATGGTGTAGATAGTTATCATGCATGAATATTCCTCTTCTGCCAAGCATTTGCAGAATGGACGTCACTTTGTCAGTCAGTAGATTCATGGTGCCATCTATAAAACTCTGTGCTTCACTGTCAGTACTATGCATTCACTGTCGTAGTGCTCGTCAGGTCACATGCTGGACTCCATCTGAGTCAGACAAACTTATCTTGGTCTTGTTTGACCAAACAATGTGCTCCCAATGCTCAACAGGCTTCTTTTCATGTTCTTGTTCCGTCTTGCAATTTTGTGCTGAAGAGGAAGTAAAACCTTTTTTAACACCTTTCATGGAGGTTGACGTCTCACACACTGTCTGCGCTGCCACGGAAACTCTGATTTCCACTGATAAGCCCTGTGCCAAGTCTGAAGCACTTGCCTCTCTGTTTTTCTGAGCTATATTGTACAAGTAGTGCACCGTCTGTGGCGTCATTTTGGGAGAACAGCCACTGCAGCTCTGATTAGTGTTACCATTCTACACCTCCAGATTACTGCTGCAACTGTGTTTCTACTGACTTTTAGTTGGTTGCTGATCTTCCTGTAACATTTTCCATCTTTGTTACAGTCAGATGTTTCAGTTCCTTTGCCAGTTCTTTTCTTTGTGCAGCCATGATGCAGACATGCAGACAAATTACATTAATGTCAGGCGTTTAGGCTAATTGGGAGTCATAGATGTTCTCAGTTTTGTTTTAGTAATCAGGTTTTCCAACTTGTGTGTTGTGATCACGGGTGTGTGAGGTTTTTTTTTATATTGTGGGACCTATATTCCAAAGTCTGGTTTTGTTTGTTAACAAGAGGAAATAGTCCGCTTGTCCATTTAAAAATAATGCAATTATGTGTAGGGGTGTTGTCTGGGAGCTTCTGTTCTATATTGTGTTCCATATAGATTTTCGCACCATTGATTTTCATGATCACATTTTTGTATCCCCCCCTCCCTCTGTCCTCCTTCACAGGTCGAAGCGTTTCTTGTCGTTCGTCGACAGCTGCCTGGTCAAGAACCATCTGCACCGACCCACCACGGACACCCTGCTGAGGCACGCCTTCATCAGAGACCTGGCTAACGAGAGACAAGTTCGCATCATGCTCAAAGATCACCTGGACAGAACCAGGAAGAAGCGAGAGAAAGGTGAGGAGAAAATACGTGTACCGATAATTTACCGGTTAAAGAAAAAAGATGAGAATTTTCTTCTCTGTGAATTCTTCATTTCTTTCACTCTAGTTTTCACAGCAGCTGCTCTGAATCACTGGACTTGATTACAGTGAGTCAGTAATTGTTCAGTTGTTGCTTTTGCAGATGAACTGTTTGATAGGTTTATGAAGGGTGACAGAGCCTGGTGTATTCTGGCATGGGCTGGTGTCGTGGTGGGGAGTTTGTGCTGCTTTTTGGCTACTTCATGGATTAAAGAGTGCATTAGAAAGTGATTAGGAAAAACAAAAATGGCCAAACACTTATGAATAAAGACACAAATATGAAACATACATCTACAGGGTTCCCAGAAAAGTGAAAACACAGAAAGCCTGACCTGATTTAACTACCAAGTTTCTGCTAGATTGAGATCATCACCTCTGCACTGCATTGTTTAATCAATATAATTTAGCTGTGTGAGACAGGATGAATTCTTTGAGTGACTGACAACGTTTCAGGGAGTTTCACGAATCAGGCACTTTACAGAAATATGTCAGAATGAATTCGCCACATTGTTTTACAAATTCACTCCATTATCCGGTTTCCAGCGCAGTCATTGTGGAAATGGAAGCATCACGCTGCACACTCGAGCTGAGAAAGTGAACCAGCTGCACCGACAGCACAGCAGCTGTTTTGCTCGGGCTGTCACAAGCACTGCATTTCTGCTAATTTATAGCAGGCTGTTTATGGAAAGGTTTCAATTGGTTGCCAGCGTTACCCACAATTTACAAAGCATGTTTTTGCATATATTACACTTTGCTGTGTCTTTATTCGTGTTGCTTCTGACCCCGTTGCTGCAGTGTTGCAAAGGAAGTTTTTGGAAAGAATCCCTGATTTAGTTACGGAGGTTTTCAGATGTATGCTTACATTTGTTAATATATCAAATATGAATTTCCCTCGAATGGGCCGACAGCGAGACGGGCAAACAAAGGGACACGAAAGTGAGAATGGGAGAATGTTGGGTCGGGCCAAAAGGAAGCACACGGCTGACCTTTCCTTTTCTTTTCTTCTGCATTCACATGGAACAATGTTTTACATGACAGAGATGAAACGGAGAAAAAAGGGGAACAAGAGGGATGGAAACAGACAAAAGACAACAAATTACGAATGTGGAGAAGGAGGCAGGAGGGCGGAGAGAAATTCACTGTGAGAATAATGTATCCTCATCCTTGCTCTGGATGACTTGCATGTGCTGAATGCGTGATGCCAATATGTGCAGTCGAACTGTGAGAGAAACAGCCAGGGGAGGGGAGGAGGAGACAGGGATATTTATGACTTTGCTCTTCTTTTGTTCTCACGTTGGTATTCGGGCGGCGTAAGAAATCCTCGTCTTGTCTATTAGGTTTATTCTTCTTCATTTGGAAAACTGAAAGAGAGGCAGAGATAAGAGCAAAAAGAGAAAGCGAGAGAGAGAGAGTGAGAGAGAGAGAGAGACACAAACAGAGCAGAGAGACGGAGCTGAGGGGAAGGAAGGAGGAAACAGAATGACCATCTGGTTCTAATCTTCTGTTAGCTTATAAAAACACACTAATGACTGGTAGACTTTCTGCATGCTGTATGTGTTGTGTGTGTGTGTGTGTGTGTGTGTGCATGCAGTGTGTTTAAGGCCAGATTTGTGTGTTCCCCTGTGCCCCTCCGCAGTAATGAAATGCTGGCAATATTAGTGTGTGTGGGAAAAACTCACTGCTGCAGAAAAAAAAAGAAACGGCAAATCCATGCTCCGGATATGATGCAAAAAGGATGTGTCTTTTTCAGCATACCCGGGAGTTTAGTTTGGGCAAACATGCTCTCAGTTTTGGACGAATCACTAGAAATAAAAAAAGAAGAAGAAGAAGAAATGTCCTACTTCTCAGTCAGCAAACGCACACATTAACACTCAAGCTGCTCTTCCCTCCTGCAGCTTTGGCTCAGAAAGACACAAAATGAGCCAAAACTTGAAAACATGACATCACAGCGGCATAGTAGGGATTTCCTCTGTCTGTTGTGAAAAGTAGACTTTGTCGGTCCTTTCTGCTTCGTTCTGCTTTGAACAAACACACCTGTGTTGTGTTACCTTTCGGCTTGTTAATGGCAACATATGGCGTGTCAAGTTAATGTTCAAGTTAGCCCGAGCTACTTTCACACCATATGTCGGCCAAATGTTGTTATGCTAAGCCGGCTGGGCCCATCTCCGTAGCCCCCCCTGGAATAGGGACTTTAGTGTGGAGGCTACAGTCAAAACTGCATAACAAAGGACTTTTCTCATACATTTCAGTTTGTATAACACGTGGCTGTAAGAGGAAGAACATTCGCTGGATGCGATTCAAAAATCACTGGTGGAATCGTCCCCGTTTCAAACATACGTGCTTTAACACGTCCCTTGGTAGAAGCGTTTGGGTCAGGACTGAGATGACTGTTTTTAAGCTATACTGCAGCATTAAAACTCTGTTCCATATGTCTTCCACAAAAGAAGACTCTCATTTACTTTTTTGTTGCTCAAGTTTGCCCGCACTGTACTTTCGTGTGGCTTTTGATAATGACAAAATTGCTAGTGGCAGCAGACGATGAAGGGCCGAGACGGCAGGCCCGGAGGAATTTTTAATGAAACGAGCTGTTTCAGAAAGCCAGAAACGCAGATGAGAATTCCCACCCCAGTGCTGACACATCACAAGCCTTCACCCCAAGCACCACCCATGACCACATCTCATTTCTGACAGCGGCGAATGCGTCATTTTACAGTAGATAACCTGCGAGGTTCACACTCAGACACGGTGCAGCTGGTGTTAACACGGCCTCTTGGGTGGGACGCATTGTTTTACTGCTCTGCATCTGGTGTGTTCAGGGGATCTGCTGTTACATGCTGACATATTTATATCCACTCTGATGTACAGTCAAGCCCAAAATTAGTCATGTGACATAAACAAGTGACAAAAGACACTGTGCTAAAGCTGTTAATGATAAATCTTAAGTACATATGTTTATTTTAACATTTTTTCTAAGAATACATTGTCCAGATTTATTCATATTCAGATAGTGCATATTTCTGAGAACATGCAGCTTCTATACCATTCCTAATGGTCCTGCTGGTTTCTACCATGCTCTACAGCATTCAGACACTCTACAAACTGAGAACAGCCGATGCAGTAGTTCTCCAGTCAGTTACTAGTCAATTACAAGTCATGGCTAAAACCGAAGAGCTTAGTGAGCTTGCTATTAGGGTCCATCAGCGAAAGAGACGGCTGCACATTGTGGCTGGTCACAAGACGGAGGAAGGCTATTATGTCACATCCAAGTGTTTTTTCAATATCCATCAATATCCAGTTGCCACAGTGCAAACCAGAAAGTACAAGAGTTCCACACTGTTTAAAATCTCCAAGGGTGTGATAAGAAGCCAGAAGTGGCTCCTGTGCCGGCAAGATTGGTTTTGTGAGAGTCCAAGAAGGATCCAAGGAGGAATCTGAGCAGTTCTGGTACCAACATCTCAAAGCAAACACTTCAGCAGACACTGAACAACGACCATCAATGTCGACCAAGGAAGACTGTCCAAGCTCACCTAGCCCATGCAAAAACTCAGTTCTTGTTGTCAATTCTGTGGTTGGATGAGACAAAAATGCAGTTGTTTGGACACAGGGACCAAAGAAAGGAGAACCTTTCAACTCCAAGAACACCATCCCCATAGTCAAGCATGGTGGTGTGAATGTGAAACTTTGGATGAGTTTTTCATCCAGTGGGTCATTCAGCCTTCTTAAATTAAACAGCATCATGAGAAAAGACGACTGCATTACGTTTCTGAGGGAAAACATCAGAAAAACAGAAAAACTCCTCCTTGAGTAGCATCGGACCTTCCAACAAGATAATGATCTGAAACGAGCAGGGAAATGAAACTGGAAATGGAAATCCTCCCAAAAGAGGAGCGGAACGAAATGCCAGTGGAGACATGCAGAAAGCTTGTTGGGAATTAGGAGAACTAAAGGATTTGTTCATTGGTTACTGAGAAAGGGTATAGATAATTATGCACATGGCATTTTAGTAAAAAGAAAAAAAAATGAAGTGGTTTAAATTTATCAGAAGCATCTCTGACACGTCCTACCATTGTTTCTCACTTGTTTATGTCATTTCTAGCCGGAAGAAAACTATCTTACTATACCTGAAAACCTAATAATAACCCAATAAATCACCAAAATTCTTCGTCTCTTTCCCAGAGGGTCCAGAGTATGAGTACAGTGGCAGTGAGGGGGAGGAGGACGAGGTCACGGAGGAGGAAGGAGAACCCAGGTAAAAGCCTTGACACGCCAGCTTTGATGATGTATGTATGCAGAAAGAAATTGGTCTCCAAATGGCTAATGGAAAGTCACAGCAGAAATAAAACTGGGCCACAGTAAGTGCTGCATGTTTCCATAAGTGTTAGTGTGTGTGGTAAGTGTTTCCAAGTGCAAATACAAGCGTTCATTATGCATCACATCCATTCAAACAAACATACAGCTGCAAATAAACATGTCAACAAAGATATTTCATAAATGCCTTATCACTGTCATTATGGGTGTTTTGCATATCGCTTGATTTACTCTCGTGTCATTGCTTAAGTGCTCATTAAATTCAGTGCTAATTAATCACTGGGAGGCATGCATATATTTTTATGTCCATGGCCAGATGCACTGGCATCCCTGGATATCAAAAAAGCAGATGGCACTCTGAACTGAGCAGTTGCTCCCAGGATGAGCTTTAAGTGTGTATTTGTGTAACTGTGCCCATTTTCTCTTAGTCCTCAAGAGTACTTGAGTACATAAAGCTCTCTCTTATTATCGCCGTTTATTCCTCTGTCTCTGTCTCTCTCAGCTCCATAGTGAATGTTCCCGGCGAATGGACGTTAAGACGGGAGTTTCTTCGCTTACAGACTGAAGATCGTGAAGGAGGCAGAGAAGGAGGCCACGGAGGAGGAGGAGGTCAGCAGAGACAACAGGTAGGTCTTTAGTTTTCATGTGATCTTATACACGTTACTTCATATTGTAGTGAAATACATCTGATGCCTTCAGTGCTAATATAAAACCAAACAGAGCCAATGCAATTTAATCCAGAATGTGTAATCAGCATATCATTTATGTTATTGTTTTCTTGGTTATCATTATTCATCAGCAACCAATTTCATATTAGATAATAATAAATAACTCACTGTATGTGACAGTATAGGCCTTATGGTTAACAAAACAAGATGGACAGATGATGACAATAATTGTTTTGCATGATGCAAGATGTTGCATTAAAGCTCAAGTAAGCAGTCGTTTTTGGCACCTTTGGGCAAAAATGTCATGCTGTACTTTGAGCATATTACAGTTAATGTAGCCTGAGGGGAAACTAGAATTCTCTATGCTGTGTATAAAGAATAGACGGAGCCTCCAGGTCTGAAAGGTAAATCCAACATCAGTCGTTAACCTGCATTCTTTCTAACAGCCAGCAGGAGGCGACTCCTCTGGTTGTGAAAAGATTCCCGATTGCATAGAAATCTTTGAGAAAACGACACTTCTTCCCACTTGTTTTGTTGCCTCAGTGACTATTTTCCTAATGAGGTTATGGCCTGAATTGTTAGTTTCAAGAGTTTTTAAATAGAGCGTGGTCTCTATTTTCTAATTTTGGACCCATTAAAAATAAAATAATTAATAAAGTGGGGCCACCTCGTGATTCAAAGGTTGCTATCAAATCACTGTTCATAGCATCCTGGAGTTCTTAGTCTGATTCACCTCACGTTTGATTTCAAAATACCAAGCTCACAATGGCCAGATGATCTTGGAAGAGCTGGATTCGAGTCCTGGGTAAAGCTACAAATGAATAATACCTTTCAGCTCAACTGTCTTTGTATTTTCAAAGCTCGTCTGGTGGGCGGGGTCTAGAACAAAGAGGGGAGACGGGAGAGCTGCAGAAGGAGGACTGTATATTTTCAATTTCTCGTCTCTAGAGATCTAGAGTAATACTTTCAGTACTGATAGCAGCAGAGGTCAAAGTGGTGCTAAGTTCAGGTTAACTAATTTAATTCATTTGGTTCAGCCCAGTTATAACAGACATCCTACCAATTTACAAATCTACTCAGCCGAAATGGGACAATTCCTCATATCAGTTTGAAAGTGGAGGCACACGGTTAACTCTAATCCTGTTTCACACTTAACATTTAGCCTGTAGCCTTGTTAAAGTTTTAGGTAAAGCTGCCTCATCGGGATGAGAACAGCAGGCCTCTTGACCCTGGATCAAAGTCAAACAGTTTTAGTTTTCTCATACAGAATTAAAAGTTAACCCTGTATTGAGTGTAAAAACCTTACATTATCAGTTTCCTAATCGTATAATTTCTTGTCCAGGCATTACAGCAGCACAGGCAGCAGTTGGCAGAGCAGGAACGATTAAAGCAGCAGTTTCTGGCTGACAGACAGAAGAGGATCCAGCAGCAGCAAGAGCAGCGGCAAAAGTTAGAAGATGTAAGTACGGTTTATGCTTTGATTTTCTCATTGTTCATTCAGCTTTGGCAGCTCAGTAAATAATCAGAAACACAAAATTTGTTTGAACTCATCAGTTTTAATCAACTACATCTTAACGAGAAGCCCTTCAGTGGTGCTTTCCACCTGCTGAGTCACATCACTACTCCACCCACTGTAACTGCCCTTCAACCTTGGAAACTGTTATTTGTCTAAGCGTTGTGCAAACCCACATTCCTGCAACTGGTGCAACTGTGTGTGTAACTAATGATCTACGAGCGGAGCTTTGATTGCAAGCTGTACTTATAGATGTATACATAATGTTAGATAAGATTCAAAATTCTGTTTAATTATCGTTACGCACACAAGCCTGTATGAGGACATTACAGATGTAGTCTCTTTGTGCTACTCACAGAAACTGCTTCAAAGTCTGATGGTTCAACAGCACATACTTCAGTGTCACTTCCTGGAGGGCAGCAGGGTGAACAGGCTGTGGTTGGGCTGGTCTTTGGGTGTGGTTTGGTGTCTCACCGACATCACTGATGCCTTGTTGATGGGTACATGATGTTCTTCTTCACCCGCTGCAGAGCCTCCTATCTTGATTAGTGCACGTCCCATATCAGTTTGTTGCTTCCAGTTACGATGTTTCCTGTTTGCTCCTTTGTAAAGGTTAGCAAGAAGCTCAGAGCGTTCTTTACCAGCTGGACATGTGTGATGGCCATGACAGGTTTATGAAAAGTATCATACTATATATAAATATCAGTTCCTTGGTTTAATAACGTTAACCATTGGGATGTTTTCAGTGCACCACACTGCAAGATTTAAGGTTTCCTGTCGATATAGATTGTCATTATTGTTCGCATTCTGGTCACAAATACAAAATGTACCACTGACACTTCATGTAGTTAATATGAATGTACATGGTGTTGACTTTGTTTTAATTTGGCTTACTTTGCTGTTTCCAGCAGCAGAGGCAGCACCTGTCTGACTGCGCCTTCCAGTGGGCGGAGCTTCAGGAGATCTTCCTCGGGGAGGAGTCTGATCTCCATGACAACAGAATCTCAGTGGATGAGAGAAACAGGAGGAGTGACAGGAGACAGGTAAAGACAAACTTTTGACAACATTGGCATACCTTAAATCTGACCTTTGCACCCAAACTGCCCTGAACAGTTAGACCTCAGATACAAATGAATAAAACATCTTTCAGCGAAGTTGCGTAACGTCTGTATTTACTGAAAATACAAGTTACCTGTCAGAAGAAATACCTTGTGGCAGGTGAGTGCATGAAACACTATGTTGCTGCTGCTGCTGTATGTGTGTATGTGTGTGTTAGGCTCTATCCATATTTGATGCAGCTTGTTTTCCTCAGAAACTCTGTAAGCTCAAGGTGTGTTTGATGCACACTGCACTGATGTAGCGGTTGTACTTGTCAGCCTTTGTCACCCAGGTGATAAAAACATTCCCTCCTTGATGCAGCGGGCCAGAAGAGAGTGTTTTAAGGGCAGATCTGTGAAGTTTTTAATAATGAAGAGTTGAAGACGGAACTCTATGAGATGGAAAGTGACCTGTTGACACGTTTCCATCAACTTTAAGCCTGTTATAATACAAGAAACGGGTGCTGCCTTCTCATTTTTTGGAAGTTTTACATCAAACAGCACTTTCAGTATAGGGTTCAAGCTTGACTGACATCTTGAAGAATTAAATATACATAAAAGCGGAGGTCCATATATGTATGAGAAATTAGCATTTCACAGCGCAGTTAAAACGTTTTCTAAATTAGCCGGAGATTGAAAAAGTTTTAGAAATCCTTTGTTTTGCTTCGTTTCTGCAGTTTTCTTTTGAAAGGGCTCTTTCACTTTCACAAAGTTGCAGTAAAAATATCTTTAACCTTGTTAAAACTTAATTTACAGCATCACATAAAGCTATGAGAAATTAGAAATCACTTTTCTGTGAGGTGGTGTTACACAGCAGCTGTAACTGTGTGTGTGTTAATGTGTGTAGATCCACACTTTTGACAAAGTATGCTGAGACAGGGTGAAGTGTCTTTACCAATTTCAGTCATTATATACAAAGCTCTTTTTACTATTTTAGAAATTCATTTTTTAGTCATTAATTTCAGCGCACACTTAATGAATCTATTCCACACACCAGTGAATTCTAATAGGTGTATATTAACACCACGGAGCAGATTAGGGGCTGATTTTTTTTTTCTGCAGAAGATACTGTATTTCAATGCTATTAATATCTGTCTGGTTATATTATAAGCTTGTGTGTGGCAGGGAGCTATGTGTACGTATTAGATTCTGATTACACAGATTGCCTCAAAGTCATTAAGTTCAGCATGCGTAATGAATCTATCTGATGCTTCATTAAGTTTTAATGCATCTGCATTTAATTATGTGACAGGTTCAGTGAGTGTGTGATGTGATGTCTTGTATTGATGAAGAACTCGTCTGGTGCCGTGGCTCCAATCTTTGCCCACATTGATTGACTTGGCAAGCGTCACGTTATGTATGTCAGTGCGGTTTGAATGGAGAAGTGGCCAAGTGACTGTAGGGTTTGCATCTTTACACCAGACGGGGAAAGTGATCGATAAAGGATACAATTACACAACTCTACTGTGTTAAGCAAAACCTCCCTTAACCGCTTTGTTATCACTTGAGTGAGCAGGAAGTGTCAGTTCCCTTTAACAGATATGTCAGTGGTCTACCTTGCCTTTTTCCCGGTGCATGCTGGGATAGGCTTCTGCAACCCTGAACAAGATAAGCAGCTAGAGTCTCTCTAATCCTGCTTCTATGGTACAGTAAAACTCATAGTCAATACTTTAAACAAACCCAGTTTGTTACTCAGTTGGACAGCCAGTTCAATGGTTAGGTTCTTGAAATACTATTAATAGAGTACTATCTATTGATATTATGAAAGTATTTTTCTATTCATACCACCACCTAAAGGTTGACAAATGTGGGTAAGACATCCATTTTTACTGAACCCTCTTCTCGACTGTCTCATGGCTTGCCAATGAAACTGAAACGAATATCTTTGGTACCCAGAGGATCCTTCCTATTGATTTTGATGATATCCTGGCTTTTTATCTGGTTGCACCAGGAGAGCAAAGTGTTCATTTACTCTGCCAATTATGTCGACATCCGCTGAGGGAATCTGCACAAAGTTTTGTATTTCTATTTTTTTCTAGTACCTTGGGTTTATCTTGCCAATTAAGAAATGTTTGCATGATAACAGGCAAAGTAAACACGGTAAACATTAGAGAGTACCTGCTAAACATTAAAATATTACTGTTGTCCGTTTAGGGATGTTGGTATGCCAACATTAGCTCATGCACCAGTAGAACTGCTCATAGGCCACAAGTAGCTTTCTGTAGTCAAAGTGGGTAACTCCAACACGTAGGCAGGGTTGGTGAAAAGAAGCACTGTCAGCAAACTGTTCCCAGGAGAAAGTTTCAAGCAAAAGAACTGTCTTGCAAAACTAACTGAAATTGTTTTCATTACCTTGGTGAGATGTTGTGTCATCACAGATTTAAAAGTTTCCTGTGAACTATTGAAAAAATATTTTTATTAGCCGTTCAGTGAACTGCAGTCAGCGTTCTGTTGCTCATGGTCAGGCATGCTCACACTCCGTAGGTAGGCCCAATCAAACATCTTAGTCATCGACCTAAACAGCGACTTCACATACACTTTAGTCTCAAACTTGAGTCTCACATAGCCAGACCCAACATTATGTTTCTTTCATGCTTCATCCATCGTTGATTCCAATGTCCTGCTGACCCTAGTTTTCTCCTGATGTTGGCCACATTCCCATTTGACCAGACAAACCTCCATTAATGAAATGTTTTTGTTTTTTGACTGAGGCAGAGTTAGCCTTGTTCAGAGCTGGTTGTTTGTAAGCTAGCTTGTGTTGCGGCTGTTCCTTATCTTAAAAATCATTCCACAGGCTGTTACAGACAACCTAGACTACTGATGAAGCTCTTGCTCAGGTCTAACTTACAATCCACACCCCAATTGGCAATAAAAAAGTGATTAATCATGAAAGTTGCTCCACATTCTTGCGCCAGTACCTTCAAGCGTATCGTGAGTGACTTTGCGGTTTGCTGTTACCTTTTATTGGAAGAAGGCAGAACATCCTGACCTTTACATGAAGACAATGTTGGTGTATTTTAATTGACAGAGAAACAAATGTTGACCATACACACCTGCAGTACTCTCTGTAAACCCTGTACCTTCTTGTTGTCACAGGCTTTGGTTTTTGTTACTACATGCTAGTTTGTTGCAGGCCAGCTGGCATAATTTAAACTGGTTTGTAGAAGAGCTGAGACTAATGTCCTTACAGTCACAGCCATTGTTTTCACTTGTAGATCAATCACCTGTACAAATGCTCACCTTAGATTACTGCTTGTTTGCACAGACTTTGCCATGGAAGCTTGGCGATCACGTTTAAGCTGCCGTTTCAGCTTAAGCTCTGTTGAATGTGACCCTTTGGATCCAAGCCGAATAAACTCAATTTAAAGGCGACGGTGCAATCACTGCGACTGTTCAAACAGAGTAGATTAAATTAGCCATTGCAAATGTAAAAAAATAAATAAATATCCAGTTGGGGCTATTTAGACTTTTTTTTTTCTTGTTCCAGGAGATATTCAAAATGAGGTCATCATAAAATATTTAGAGTTGAGGGTACTGGCTAAAAGCACCATGCCATCTTGCACACTCTGAATATTTTAGTTCCCACTTCTCAGAATTCTCCTTAAGACCTTAGTATACCCTAATTAAAGTAAGTCTGTGTATGTGCTTTTTCTATTCTTGTATACCCCTACAAGAACACAAATACGTGGAACTCGAGGGGTTTTTGAGTTTGAATTACAGTGAGATGTTGCTGTGGTTAAACAAAAAACGTAATTAAAACTCGTGAAACGTTGTGGCAGATATCTTCATTCAGTCACGTGGTCGTTGGTTCATATGATGTGTGAACGTGTGTGTGTTGAACAGGACCAGACAGGCAGACAGCGGAGTGCTGATGTGTCAGTAAGGCCTCTGGACTCCTCAGCAGAGCAGGTAACAAACCTTCACTCTGTATTTTTTCACTCACTTGTCATCCTCCATTTTTCATACGAGTGGGAGCAGGTGGAATTTATTTTGAAATGTTCTCCGTGTGGGTTGATTCTTAATGTTGATGATGGTTTTGGTCCGTGACAACACACTGCACGGAGTCTGCAGCGTGTTAGGTGGGCTTGTGTGGAAACTGCTGACCTATCAGCAGAATTACATGATTCTTTCTTTCTTTCTTTCTTTCTTTCTTTCTTTCTTTCTTTCTTTCTTTCTTTCTTTCTTTCTGTCTTTGACTTTTGTAGTCTGCATCTCCTGCTTTTCACCATTTCTACACTGTTGTGTGTTTTCCTCCATGTCTTAATTCTCTACTTCATCTGTCGTCTTTACAAGAAACAGTGTCTCTGTGACTTGACAAAGTAAAGTGTTTTTTTAAAGAAAAAAAAAAACGATAGTAAACTTAATATCTTTTGGCTTTGGACTGAACAACACATTCCAAAAATGTCACCTGCAGCTTTGGGACTTTGTGAGTGGCATTTTGCAGTATTTTCTGACATTTTACGAATCAAACGTTTAATCAATTATTGGAGATGTGGGCACTTCTGAGGAAGAAATGCTCCCACGTTTGAGCTTAGGAAATAATTTTGCGAGGCTGAAAACAGAATGCTTTGATCCAAAGACGGAAATGCAAGAGAGATCGTTTGGATAAAGCGAGAGAGCAGCTCGTTACGTGGACATATAGAACATAAAAGGAATGAAGAGAGGGCAGGTACAGAGCAGCAAGAGATAAAACGGGAGAGGGTTTAGCAGGCTCCACTTAGATTTTAGCTCCCTTAATCGTTTTAATTTCTATTTATACACAAGAACTCAAAATCTGATTCAAATCAATATGAAGAAAACACAAAATCGGTAAAGTTTAAAGTCTCCTCTGTGGTCTAATGTTGTTGGTGTCCACCTGCAATGCTACGGAGAGCCTGAGTACAAAACCCAACTGAAGGACCAGATGCTACATTGAGGATGTAATGGGCAATCTGTCCATAAAATAAAGAATCAGCATCTCTAGACATGGCTATGTTCATGCTCTCTACCAGCTAAATGGATTTGTTTTAAGACACTGAGTTGTCGTGTTGCAAAGAACGAAACCTCATTGTGATAATCAGCCTTCTCTGTTTCAAGAGCAAAGCTTCTACCCACTGAATTAAAAATGCAACTCAATTTTGATGTTTCAAAAGGTGTTAAAGCGTGACTAAAAGAGAAACAGCATTGGTTTTACACCCAACACGCCTGCAGACTCTTCAAATGATTATGCAGTAGCCAGCTGTAGGAAAATGAAGCCATAAAAGTCCAAATACGTCGGCCTGTGCTACACTCTAATGTCACTATTCTGTCGGACACACTGATCTTAGTTAGTGCTTAATGCTGAGTTAATGAGTTTGCCTCCTGGATTGTAAACATATGGTGAATTACTGTAAAGGAGACACTCACACAGTCTGTAAATAGCCACCTAAAATGATTGCAATTAAGAATCAATAACCCCTATTTAACATGTTTATGTCTCTGCAATTAACTGTGAGGTTTATCAAGACTTGCTGTAATGATTGGCAGTGTGTTGCTTCACTAGAAATATAAATGCACTCACGTATAAACAAGGTTATTTGAAAGGGGAACATGTTTTTAGCCTTTTGTTTGAAATTAAATTATTTGTAAAATAAACTATCCACAGAATCTAATCTATAGAATCATGTCTTCATCTGTCACTTAAGTAAATTAGGATGATTTATGCATTTATTCATTAAGACCATAAACATCTGTTGTGTGTGAGGAAACTGCAGCACTTGAAATCATCAAGTTGCTCCCGTCGCTGTGTTCTGGAGTGTTCTTCTGATGAGGATGTCCTCTGTGCTTTTGGTCACAACTGAACCAAATCTGAATTAGTAGAATGAAAAATTAATATAAGAAGTTAGCTATGCTTGAATTAGCACTGGGCTGTTTGGCCAGTAGCAGGTGTGTAAACGCACCTCTGTCTTCACTGTAATGTATCTTTAAACTTATAATTTTTCTTTTATCTTTATCTTTTTTTGCTTAAGTTGCCTCTTGTGAACAGGTATTTTACTTTACATACAATAAGTACAGTGCATCTGGCGTTTGTGCGTAATGGTACAATACAGTTGCAGTCCTGTTATTTTATCCATTTCAAGTACATTAAAGCAAAAATAAGAATTGAATCAAATCAGTTTGAATTGTATGTCTGAAAATGACGGAGAAAGACTGAGTAGTTAGTCGTACTGTGAGTGACTGGAGGGCTGAGAAAGTTCATCGTTTTGAAGTTCTCCATCAAGGAGATGGCAAAAGATGAGAGATTTTTAATTCCACGTTTGTGTGAGACTTTAGTAAAGATTCAGAGGCGACAGCAACACACTCTGTAGCGTACGCCGAGCGTCAGCGCCGACAGGCTGCTAAGCCAACGGTGATCACAGCGTGCCATCACTTTAGTTTCAGCGCTTTTCCTCTCCGTCCCTCTCTCCCCAGCATGTCTCCTCTGTCTCGTTTCCTCTTTGCATCCATCCCTCCCTCCACGTTCGCAGCGTGGAGCGTTTTCATGTTCAGCATCTCTCTTTACTTATCCCGGTTTTCTCTTTCAAAATGTTGCCATTTAATCTCAATAGGGGATTCACACATACAAATTTGCAAAACATTTCGCCGTCACATCTCTATTCATCAAACGCTTTCTCTTCTTTTCTTAACTACCTCCCCGAGTCCCACAACCTTCTGTCCTTCTTTTGTGTTGTTGTGATTCTGCCGTGTAATGACAGTTGTACTGCATAGTGTGTAGATATTTTCGGTTAAAATTAAAAGAACAGGAGTGTCAGTAACTCAATAAAAAGGGATTTAGCCAGATTTAACATGGATTTAGATTTTATATAATGTTTCAAATGGTCATTACTCCTCATTTTGTAGAATTAACCTCTCTGAAATGCAATGTTGCTTAAATTAGATCTTGTATCATACTCTGGTTTGATGACTGTGGATTTGTTTAGTTGGTATCTGGTTAGAGTTCTTATTTAATCTTGAATTAGTTTGTATGTAAACCATAGTGAGTAGTAAAAGACAAAACAGCATTTTCTCTTTTGGGACAACTGACTCTAATCTGTGTGAGATTTTAATGTTGTTGTTCAGTTTCATGCTGGCAGTTTTATGTGTTTCAGTTGTGAACACTATAAATCACATTTTCCTGCTCACTGAGATGTTTATCGTCACTGGGCTTCCACTGTAGGCTCTGCATTTTATTTTTAACTGGACACAAATAAATGTAATTTTATGTATAATGATGGTTTCTACAGTTTTAATGTGTCGCTTGATTGGACAATTTAACAGAGTTTAATGTCAGATTATGTATTTGATCGCATTAATCCACAGTTTCTGCTTTGTCACAATCTCATATTCTTAATTATCGCACAAGTTACCAAGTAACGCTTTTAGGTGTTATTATTCCAGTCACATTTCTTCAGGGATGACTTGGATGGTGAATTGTAGATGGCTAATGTGGAGTGTTACCGTGGCTGAGTTGCAGTTTAGCTGAACAAGGTTACCAAACTATGTGGAGTATTTTGACTCCGTGTCTCCCATTCTGGAGAAAACAGCATTAAATCTGGTTTTCCTTCTATGGCAGCATTGACAGAAATCTTATCTCAAGCATCTGGCATGTGGAAGTTAAAGTCTTGGGTGGAGAGACTGATGGTGGTACATGGAGTGTTAGCATGAATCTTGAAGTATCTTTAAGTGCCTGTATAGAAGCTGTGATGAACTGGACTGTGAACTTCCTTGATGTATACATGTATCTACATATAGTTTATATAGAAGATGTAGGTACATAGCTAAGAACGTGTGGGGAAAAAGCAAAGTTAGTAAAATAATGAAACATCATTGCGTTTTAAAAAGAAATGAATTAACTGAAACAAGAACAGTTAGAAGTAAAATATCATGAGATTAACTCTCTAAATTGTCCCTGTGGATAAGAATGGGTCCAGCTTTATGTTGTTCTGCAGGTTGTTCCAGGAGTGCAGTGAGTACATTTTCCAAACTCAGTAAAAACAGCACCTGCAGCAAAATCCAGTCATTTAAGCTTGTATGATGTAAGAAGCCAAATTTAAGGCAGTAGTGAGCTAATGTAAAGGAGTTTTTAAAAAAAAAACAGTTAGAGCTTTACAAATAAATAAAACCCAGTGTCTATCACAGCACAGAGGGAGGTCGAGCCATCCAGCCTTTGCATACAGCTCATAGTGATTATAATTATCACCAGTAATAAATCTTAACGCGCAGTGATAAGTAGTGTCCAAAGACTTAAGAGTCACAGTTGATGCAGGCATGTACAAAACATCGCCTTAATCCAGTCCTGATTAAAAAAAAGTTGCCTCAATAAGCCTTTTTCTGTAATGCAATACTTACAATACTTACACTGTGTGACTCTTCTGGTCTGTTACTCTGATTATATATCTAATAGCAGAATGATGAGGTGCAATCTGCAATTCTGAATCGCTGACACATGTGGCTAAGTCTACAAGTCTACAGTTTGTGCTGATCCACACAAACCTGAACTAATTTTACAGTGAGACGAATCCAACGTCTATGAAAAGTCTGTCATTCTTTTCTTTTTTTCGTACTCATCTTCCAGCCAATATGAAATGTCTGTCGCCTCCGTTTGAAAAACCAGATTTAGCTGCAGCCCAAAGAAAATCAGCTTTGAGATGTGTAAATGACAGTTGTGGTTCTTTTATTTGTGCTTTTATTGCATTTCCTCTGGAGAAGGTTGTGCTTGCTAATCAGATTCCAAAAGCCAGCGAGCCAAATCCAGATGCTGTCATATGTCCAAGCCTCGCTGCCAGGCTGTTCGCCCAACGTTTTCACATGTGGCTCTACGTTTTACAGCAAACACGCACATCAAGTCAGCTCCTGCTTTTATGTTTGTCACAACTAGCCAGTGTTTGCTTTCTGCGGTTTCTGCGGCCTATCAGTGGGTCGTCTTGTCAATGTCTTGTGGCCGTGAGTGTCCTTTTGTTGAGATAAAAACATTTTTTCCAGCATCATTAATTGTTTACTCATGTACTACATTCACTGGGGTTGCCTCCTGATGGTGGTGCAGTCAGTTGTTGTACCGTGTTTGCACTTAAGTGGATCAAACCTGTTCATGTCGATAAAGCTCTCATCGTCTCCTTCGGTTTTCCTAAACAATATAAAAAGTTTGACTCCCTGGAAGCTGTGATATCGATGTCCCCTGTGGTTTGTATCTGAAGGGATGTTTCCCTCTGAAGTACAATTTCATTATTAGTCTGTTCTACCATATCAACAAGATTAGATGATGCAAGTGAAGTGCGCTTCTTCTGAACAGTGTTATTGTTCAAAATCTAAGAGTTAATTTAATCAAAGAAATCAAATTAACGTAATTCTTCCGCGTCACGGTCGGCAATTAAGTGAAATTTTGCTGTTTAATATTTTAATGAGGCGTACGTTAATAATATGTGCACGTAAAATCAGTTCTAAAAAATGAATTGTCACTTTAGAGATTAGGAGACTGTGTGTGACAGAAATACTAACTTATATCTATGAAAAGTGATAAAAAAGGGAAAGACTAACCATGACTCTGTATAAGTATTAGCTTTACTAAACACTGACTTTACACAGTTCAACAGGTAATGTTGCTGTTGTCAACAATTTGCTTTCAGGCTTTTCTCTGTCTCCTCATGTATCTGACTTAAATTTAAATCCCCTCAGAAGCATTATAATCTATATAAATGCCACTTTATTACCCTACAACACAGTACACATGTATCCTGTTTCACAAAAACACTTTCAGGCTCCGTCAGTTTGTCTGTCTGCTTTTCATGTTTGCTACTTAGAGAGCCGTGGCTCCAAATCAGCTGCTTCAGCATAAGGCCCAGCACTCCCAGCCTCCGCTACAGCCGCAAGCCAAGCCCCAGCCTCTGGCCCAGCATCAGCAGCCCTCAGCGGGCAGGAGATCCCACCGCACCCTGCCCAAGGACCAAACCCAGCTCCTGTCGCTGCAGCACGACCACAGACACAGAGACAGAGAGCGGCAGAGGCAGAGAGAGACGCCTGTGGCGACTGTCCAGAAGCTAACAGCTAATAGTGGGAACCCTGCCGCCGCTGCCGCTGCTGCTGCTGCTGCTGCCGCCTCGTCAAGTCGCCCTGCAAACAGCCCGCGCTCAGCGGTAAACCCCGCCTTCCTCCGCCGTCCAGCACCGTCTGTCACTTCCACACTGTTTGCCCTTCTGTCCGTCTTACTGTGTTGCTTTTTCGTCACTTTTATTTAGTCTAATCTCAGGTTTACTCCATCCGTTTCCCTCCCTTCTCACCATTTGTCCACTTCGTGACTTTATGGACCTCTTTTACCTAAAAGTCAACAAGATCTGGAGAAAAATAGCCAAAATGTAAGAACTGACACAGTTCGAACCAACATGATGATGAAAAGGAAAAGGCAGAGTTTGGTACTCATCTGTGTGAACATCCTGCCAGCAACACCTTTTCTATTAGTTGACCTAATTGTGACAACTCTAACAATTCTACTCACACGTTTTTTTTTCTTTTTTCTTTTCCTGTGAATCTGTGATAATTTTATCCGCTTCAGACATGTTTTCATGTAAATGCACGGTGGCAGATGCAGACTGCTTGTGCCGGGTGACAGCATGCGGTTTTCTGCCCTCTATTCTTATCACAGCATCTAAACCACACAGGGAACACGAGCAGTCATTTCCAGAAACACGCATGTTCAAACAGCCGTCAGAAGGGCGACTGTGGTTTTCGAGAAAACTGTGTGGTAATATGTTTTTTTCTCATGAATTGCAATAGAAGTTTTTGACAAAACAGGTTTATGCACGAGACAGATGCTGATGTAGGAAGTGGCATCTGTGAGAAAAGTGAGTTTTGGCAAAAAGGAAAGTTTTACATCCAGTGGGGTCTTTAGCAGGGGAAATGAATACCACACTGATATGCCAACAAGTAACACGTTGTTATAAAATGAGGATTATAGTCACGCCATCTCAAACGCTGAATAAGCAAATAGCAAGCTTCCAAAGGTGATGTGTCACAGCTGCATCACAGTCTCATGCATGCCGTGTCATTGTTAGAACTGCCCATCGATTATGCTTCAGTACGTTAAAGGATACTGCAGGAAAAATCTAAAGTGAGTTAAAGAAGAATTTTAGGATCATTTAGGACCTGTTTCGTTTGTCATATCCGTGTTTGATGTAGTGTGCAGCTCATATACAGAGAGGACGTCTAGTCTCCTTTCATTGATATTAATGTGGTGGACTAAAAGAATAGAAATGATTCCCAGTGTAAGAGAATACAATTCAAAAGCATCACAAATTGCAGCTTTCAAACCAGTTTCAGCAGAAAATTAAGATCCTAATCTTCACTCTAACCTAATCTAGATTACCCTAAATAGAAGACAAAGTCAGTCTATATGTAGTTAAACACTCTCATAGACAGAGATGAGTCCGTCTTATGTGTGTTTCACGTTGCAGATGGACGTTCAGGAATCAAACTTAGCCAGGTTGCTCTTGGCTGCCGGCCTGCCCAGCCAGATGCACTCGAGGCTGGGCTCTGGAAGCAGCTCCAGTCCTTGTACACCAGCCATGCAGAGAGCTCACTTCAGTCAGGTATACACACTCACATCACACCTGCACACTATTTTGCAACCACAGTCACTTGAAAGTGTAAATTCTACTTTCTATCCATGAACTACCTTCTTTGTTTTCCCCCCAGAATGCTAACCTTCGCTCCAGTCGGGATGCCCACCACAGCAGCTCCATGTCAGACATGGCCCTCTCGCCTTTGTCCCCATTCTCCCCCCTGTCCCCAACCGACAGTGTCTTCTGGGACTCTGTGGAGACTCCACCTAAAGTGAGTATCGTCTGTTCTCTTAGCTCCTGAATAACGCATTAGGTTACAGCCCCAGCAGGTTCGGTGACTGACATAAATGAGGCATAGATTGAACTGATGTCTATTTTGTTTTGTTGCCTGCCATCAAAAGAGGAAGTTGTTGTTATTGTCATGCCCATCACGGGGTGCAGCCTGCATCACATGAGCATTGGCATAATGTGTGTGCCGAGCATCTTGTATTCTGGTCATACCAGGCTGAGGAAGTGGTGCACACAGCACGAGGCTGGTACACTGTGGGTGTGGGGAAAGTGTGTGTCTTACCTCAAGATCTGCCACCAAGTGCCCCTAACTAATAGCACATTTGTCCCAAACACGCCTCAAAAACACATCGTTCATCTGCTCTCTCCTGCTAACACCACAGCTCCCCTGCTAAGCGTTTTACAAAGACAATGTGCTGTTAGGTGTGTTTACCAACAGAACACCATATGGAGTTGATAAAACAACTAATAACTACTACAAAGAGAGGAGGGGAGCCCAATAAAGCTGTCTCTCTGCCGTGTTGTGTTGTCGTGCTAACAGGAGGCCATATGGAGTCGATAGAGCAGTTAATAACTCTCTCTTGCAGTGTGGTGAAAGAAGCTTAAACCAACGGGGTGGCAGTGAAAATGTAAGGGGATCAACAAAACTGTGACACAGCGAAGCCAGGCGTTTTTCTTTACATCTGTCTGAATTCAAATAAACTGAATATGCTAAAGCTTCGAGGGCTTTTTTACAAATCCCTTCTTAGGGTTAGTAATGATCTCTTCAAAAAAAAAAAGAAAAAAAGCTTCATGATGTGTGCAACACGGTAGTCGACAGCAAGCGGCAGACACCCAGCTGGCTGTGGGTGTGTTCATGGGGAGCTGTAGGCAGGATGTGGGCAACTTGTCAGAAAGATGGTTGGTATTCCCACAGCTCTCTTCCTGCTCTGCCGGGTGTGTCTTCCTCTCTGCGACTGAGTCATGTGACCCAGGAGATGCGAGGTCAAAAGGTTACCAGCTGGCTGGTAGGACTGAGAGTTAAAGAAGAATCAGATGTTGAAGATTTTGAGTTGGAAAAAAAAACAATAGCTTGCAAAACTTGAATTGTTCAATCTTGTATTAATTTCACAATTGGTGTTAAAATAGGCCAGAAGAGATTGAGAAACACCCCTGACTCATTATATTTCTACACTAACTGTACGATTTGGACACAGTTTTGATGCGTTTAGAGAAGTAACAATGAAATGTTCAGAAGGAGCAACGCCAAATGGTCTCATTAGATTCTCTGTAATAAATATCTCCCTATGGGTTATTAAAGATTTTATTGCGCTGTGCCCTACAGCCTTTCAAGCACTGTAAATAAACCTTCCTGTCATAGCTGAACTCTGTTTGGCTCGATGTAAGATCCTTGTAAAGAGCCCTTTATGTGAGTGAAAACTGAAACAAGCAATGAAGAACTGAGATTGTGGTCCTTGTACGTTATTATTCAGTCTGTTAAACCGAGTTTCTTTTGTGTCTTTCAGGTTCCAGAACGCACTACCTCAAAGTTTTACTGTCGAGAACTGGTGATGGGACACAAGCGGGCAGCTTCAAGGTAGAGCAGCACGGCATGAGTTACACTCCAGGGCAGCTCAAGAGTCAATGCTTTGGTACAAAGTTGATGCCAGAATTAAACAAGAAACATGAGGGTTTATGTTCGGTAACCTTACACTGCATGTAAAATATGGACATAGTGAACATGGCTTTATATGTGGACTGCTGTTTTAAAGCCACAGGTTTTGCATTTGGCCGTCGCCATCTTGTTTTTTTTGCAATCAGACATGGGGTGGAGCTGACTGAGCACTCAAGGAAGCTGGTGATCTGGTGACAAAGTGTGAATCACATGTAGCACCACTCTAAAAAAACACTGCTCTCTCATTTATTTTACTCTAAATAAGATCATCATTTACTAAATCCACATGATGCTTGATTAAACTACAGATAGAGACCATAAACTAAGTAGTAATATGATTACTGAGGTAACAAATCAAAGAAGAAGTAGGGTCATTTCCTCATGGACTTCTGTACAATCTGACTTGTTTTTGCAGCTACAGTAGTCGCCCCCTGCTGGCAGTTAGAACAATACAAGTTTAAGTCACTTCCACTTTGGTTTTGAGCAATCACATTTGTAGCAGTTCTCCATTTCCCCTCAGATTTGTGGTGAATTTTTTCTTGCATTTTTCAGCTCATTGTTTTGGTTTTAGAACCCACAAACCAACCGTTTGTGGTTACTCTCAGCAGTCTTATGGGAAAACTTGCAGCATATATGTGAAAATAGTTAAACTCACTGTACACTATCTATTAAGCACCAAGCTAGTGAACATATTGGAGCATTTAGCATTTTGACAGGCAGATATTTCCCTCAGATCAGAGCAAAAATCTGAGTAAATGTTGAACTTACCTTGATCTGATGGGTAGAAACACAACTCAAAATGAATGTTGTCCCATGTCTCCTGTGTTAGTCAACTGTTTTGCTGTAGCCATAGCCACTTTATGCAGCAATAATATGTCAGTCTGCTGTTGGAGGTTGTTTGTATGACCTCAAGTGACAAACAAAATGTTTTTTTTGAAAATATGGCTAAAATGAACAGCTAGCTCTTGACCTCTTGAACTTCACACCTAAAGCATGTCTCTTTATATGTATTTTAAATCACCACAAGCTAGTTCAGCTACACATCAACTGAGGTGGTAGCCTAAAGCAGCAAAATAAGTAGGGATAGCTTTGCATTTTTCAGATACAATACATCTATCTGTCCTTAAATTGGAAGCATTGGTTTCCCAAACAACATTAGTTTTAAGTAGAATCAGAATGTACATATGTTACTTGTTATCCGTGGTATTGTAGCCATGCTATAAACAAGATGGCTCTTTAACACACAGTTATTCTTTCAGCTAGAGTGAACCTTATTTATGATCAGGGTTTCTATCACACCACAACCCAGCCTATTGGCATACACTGTTACAGAAGAGCCAGTCATGGAAGATCAGATTAGTTTAGCTTGCATAATTGCTTTCAATTAGATGAAAATAATGGTGAGGAAATTGGGTCATTGCAGAGGCAGCGTGAAGGATACACTCAAGAAGAGGACACATAGATGTGTTTAATGTTGATCACAGTGCACCTCCCGAACTGAACCTCTTGTGTTTTTTTTAAACTCTCCATCTGTGACACTGTGTGCGTGTCTCTGTCTCCATCTAGTGGCAGTCCGGTGTCCATCGCAGATAAAAGTGGAAGGTCTCATGGATTTTCATCACCGAGCAGCAATCACCCAGGTCTGTACTGCCTTCACTCAGAGCCTCACTGAGTTCAGTCATATGCTCGTATCTTCCTTAGAAACAACAACATAGGCTGTAAAACTTTATTAAATGGCAGTTTTGGGTCTCAGAAATGACTACGGTCCGAGTTTGTTCCAATGAACTTTATCCCAGGATTAGAGACCCATTTTTTTGTTTGGGTTCTGTCATTACAAAGAAAAATGCAACTCTCTCTGCTGCTTTTTTTCTGAAAGACCAAATATTCAAGATGTAGAAGTCGTAGTGTTGTTTTTGTGATGACGATCCTGTAATGGTTCTGTTTGGTTTTCTACCAACATGACTGCTGTTGTTGTCTGCAACAGTTTGACATAGTTCAGACCTGCTTTTCTCATGGATGTGGCACTGATGTTAAAGGTGTACGTGTGAATGTGGTTGTCTGTGCCTGTGTGTGAAGCTGACTTTATCAGGTTAGTCTGCAGAACCCACATGCATATGGCAAACCACTGCACACGCTCATACACACTAAACAGTAACCTAATAAACAAACACAGGCAACAGTTGCATGCAGCTAGAGAACCAGTTCCAACATAGAACTGATTACAAAAGTTCAGGTCAAAAGTAATCATGAAAGTTTCCTTTCAATTCTGCTTATTGGCTCCTGGATACATTTCTCTTACTCCGGATCCATTCATCTTAATACATCATGAGTCGAGTGTTATTCTCAGTTTATCCTGTCAGCTGTAACTGAGTTGTGTGATTAGCAGGTGTAACAACTACTTTATTTAGCAAAATGCTGCTACAAAGGGGACAGGATTGAACTCCGCTGGCATTGCAGTGTAGTAGCCAAGCAAACCTCCATCCATCCATCCATCCATTCATTCATTATCTATACAACTTAGTCCACACTAGGGTCATGGGGGGCTGGAGTCTATCCCAGCTGAATCAGGGTGAAGGCAGGGGACACCCTGGACAGGTAACCAGTCTATCACAGGGCTACACTTAGAGTCAGACAACCAAGCACACTCACATTCACACCTACGGACAATTTAGAATCACCAATTAACCTCATTTTTGGACTGTGTGGGAGGAAGCCGGAGAACCCGGCGAGCACCGACGCTGCACGGGGTGAACATGGAGACTCCACACAGAAAGATCCCATTCGTCTTAACTGGGACACGAATCGGGGATCTTCTAGCTGCGAGGCGACAGTGCTCACCACTGAGCCCAAACAAACCTCGAACTAAAATTTAAAGAAACAGAGAAACGCTACTATGAAGGATGCAGGATGCAGTAACATAACACCAACAGGGACCCTCTATTTCTTTACTGTGACAGCAAACACAACACACAGACTTTCAGTAGCTATTCTGCTTTTTGAAGCACGTTACAGCTTTTTTTAGTAACTTTACTGCTCTCATAGCAACACTTTACTGTGACTGCAGCAACGTGCAGGACAGACTTCACACAACAAACCCACACATCTACATCGTCGCCTTCCTTAAAGAGGATGTGCAGTCAGACTGTGGGTGTGCAAACTTCACTGGTTAGAAAACATAGTAACTGTATTAATTCATATAATTTCCTAGTGTTTGTTTACTTTGATCGACAGAAATGGGCATTGGTGGAGGAAATATGTAAAACTTAGTTGATATAAAAGTACAGATAACCCGGTAAAAGTCCTGCATTGAAATTGTGAGTCACAGTGTGTTAGCATGATGAGAAATGTGCTCAATGCAGAAATATGTCAGTACATTATATCATGAATAAATGCAAAGGCAGATTTTTACTGTTGTAACGCCAACCACTTGCCCTTCAAAGAACTGGAATCGAGAATGACTGAAATACAAATGATAGCCAGCCCCGCATGCAGCCGCAGTAACACTACACTAACTCCACATGCAGTACACACACTGACTGGTGTACAAAGCACAGCCACACACAGCGATGTATTCAGATCCTGCCCTCTCTACCTGTGTGTCTAGAAAGACAGAAAGAGCCGGTTAGATCTTTTTCAAAGCTCTGCCTTCTTGTCCTGTGCGGTCGGCGCTAAGGAAGCTGCTCTCGTAGCTACTTGGGATAGATAGAGAGGAGGGAGGACGGTGGGGGAGAGCATGTTTAGTATTTCAAAGTTGCCCTCTGTGTGTAGTTGGAAGGAAACAACTTTTGAAGCCTCCCACTCAGTTTGGCTGCTGGCCTCGGTCTTTCTTTGTTTGGAGCCACAGATCAGAGACTCGTACAGATCCGCCGCGGCAAAGCGCCTTTATCTGCTCATTCTGTAGCTGAGAAAAAGCCGCTTACCTCTTTGAACTATATTGTTATTGCAAAAAGCATCTGTGGCAGTGATTTATTGAATTCATAAATTGATAGTGATACCTCGGTTAAAAGAGACTGCGATGGTGCAGTCGGTCGGGGAGCAAGGGATCGCTCGCCTCCTCCTTCTCACAAACAGTACTGACTGTCCTGGTGTTTCTCAAGATGAAGACTTTATTTGCTGTGAACTCCTTTGTTTCTTGAAGCAAAGATGTTTCTTGTTTCAAGCGATTTTCTCTGCCTCTCGCACCATTGTCAGAAAGTCGTGGTGTGTGGTAGAAAACCAGCAGCCTTTTCCTGTTTTCTTCCATAAAACAATCATTTTGAGTGCTTTTCTAGTAGCAGCAACAGAGAGCCAATAACTCTGTTACCATCTAACGGGCAACTCTCTGTCTTGGTATCCAACACAAATCCATGAGCACATTAAAGTTGCTGCAATCAGTATTTTAACAATAACAATATATGATTTGGAGACGGTTGCTTCAAGTAACATCACAAGTAATTATCGTCAATTCTCCGGCTACTCTCAGCTCACTGGGGCTTTATAGCATTATTTGTGGTCAATTGTTTTGACTGTACAGTCCGAATCTTCACTGTTCAGACGCAGTTAGTGTCATCATTTTCAGCTGCAGCAGACCTCTTCGAACCTCTAAAAGCCCACTGTGCACAACCAACCACACAGCCTGACGGTCTGCTGTGAAGTTGTGGAGGATTTAGTAGCTAAAGAACCAGATTGGAGATAAAAGGATATCGGACTGTGCACTAAAACATCAATACACACACACAATTTGTTTCAATAGCTGCACTCATTATGTTTTAATTAATGTGTCTTATGCCTTGAGAACATCTAAAAATACCTGGACTTTAAACTCACTGTGCAGTGTAGTTAATACGACACGGGGTTTTGTCCCAGTGATTTGCCGTTCTCCTCAACGTGCCTCAACAGTCACAGTTTATGGCTATAAAGCAATCGAAACCCAGTGACCCCCTGTAGAGGCGAGCAGAGGCTGCCGTTATTTGAGAACGGCCTCATTTATCCGAGGCGATTATAGCTCTCAACGCTAATATCAATCTGGGAGGTTTGCTTTGCTTAACACCGCCCAGCTGTTGCTCTCCGACTGCTGCTAATGTTAGTGTGCGTTTGTGTGTTTCAGGATACTTCAAGCTGGAGAGTCCTCTGCTACAGCACCGCCTGCAGCAGCAGCACAGGAAGACCGAACACAGCGGACACACACAAGTAAATATCAGCAAACTACATGTTAACCTGCATGCTCTGGCTCTTTAAAGGGCATTGATTGGAAATGTTTTGCCAGTGACACTAAAGAAACAACAAAATAGGGTTTCAGAGTTGGATGTTGATGTACAAATGAGCCACAATGAGCAGCATTACAACACACATGTACACTAATGTCACAAGTTTCCCTCTTTTCTAGATTTAGTCTCATTAACCAAACGTCTTTCCTCACCTCCTGTACTTCCAGGGACTAAAACCTGCTCTGGGTCGACTCAACAAGGCCACAGAATACTCGTCCTCCAGTGACGAGGTTGGCAGCAGCGACGACGAAGACAGAAACAGGTGAAACCTTTGGCCTCAGTATGCTTCTTGTGAATGTTATATTGTAAGAAACTTATCTTCTGGTCTTTCCTTTAAACCCTCTGAGCAGTATTTTTTTTTTGATTCTCACATTTTTATTCACTGTGGGCTCATTTCTCACTACAATATAAAGTCCTGCATCTCTATGGAAACAGCAGAACCATGACTACACGAAAAATAACTCTTGTGTCTTTTGTACAGTATGACACAGCTATAATACAGTAAACCATTGAAAAAAACAAAAGCGGATTTTTGGGGGGATTATACAGTTTACAAAAATGAAAAAAAAACACTAGAATCACTGTGTGCCACATTCTTCAAGTACTGAAACAAAACAGTGTCTCTACATACTATAGATATTTTACTACTTCCATTTTTTTACAGTCTCTAAAAACTAGGAGTCTTTGATGCTACTCTGCACGTAAAAGTCTAAAAAGATATTTCACCTTGTTGAATGTATCCTCCAACAACCAGTTGATATTTTGCCCTCCACATACCGTTTTTGAGCAATGCTGCATTTATTCTATTGCAAAAATGTGTTTTATTTTGCTCTGAATTGCTCTAATTTGCTTCCATACTTGTCTCTCATCTGCTCTGCTAACACAGCCGCATATCAGCTGAATATTTGCTGAATTTTTGCCACAATTTTTGTGACAAAATGACAGCCGAGGGGCGATTCTGTAAATAACATTCTGCAGATTACAGAATCTAGTGCAATTTATTTGTCGGCAAATTTAAAAATGAGGCAGATAGAATGAAGTGATTTTGCTGAAATATCATTTTAATCTTGGAGTTAATAACCACATATAACACATGATCACACTTTCTAGCTCTGATAAATGCTGTAATTTGGCCATTTTTATAGATAACATGCCTTTCACACACACCAGCAGAACGTTAACCGTAAAACTGTGAAAATCCCAATGACTGGGCGTAACATCCGTGACCTGCTGCACACTAAAGAACTGAGCAATTCTTTCAGTGTTTCAAAACACCACCGTTGGGAAACATGACCGGTTACAAGATGTAATGTACAAATTGTGAAATTAAGAATCAGAGAAAACAAATCAGTGAACGGTACTGATCTTGTTAAAGATTCTCCTGCATCTACTGAGAACACACACATGCTGAAATATGTCTGCTGACTGCCAAGTTTAACCACAACACATTTTAACAACTACACATTAAAATGCTGTGTTAAAATCCCATGGCATCATTTTATTAAACCTTTATTATCAAGCTAAATAAGTAGTTAAATAAGTAGATAAAACCTTTCACATTCTCCCAAACATGGTGCAGAAGAGAACTGTATTTTTACAAATGATAAAATACATTCACAGTGTTCACCGTCTTTGACATCAGTGTTTTCTCATTCGGTTCCTCCGCTGATCCCAGGAAGTAAATCCGCCGTGTTTTTATTGCCTCTGGTCTCGATGATGCATCGATCTGTTTTCTAACCACTTAATGCAACACCTGCAGTCAGACTCTGCTCTAAACTTCTGACATGTGTGTCTCAAGGTCTGGCCTGTCCAACGGTAAAGGGAAATACTTCAGAGGAATTCCTGATGGCATCGTCCTGCAGCCTCACCACAACCTCAACCAGGTACTCGGTGCACACACACACACACACACACACATAACAAGGAACTCTGTGGTCAGTCTGTTATGTAGAACCTAGAGTTGGACCAGAACATTTAACTATTCCAATATTTGTTCATTTTGAAAGTATTCATTTGTCAGCTTTGGGCCTTGAATATTCATATTTTTTGCTGTGTAGGCTGTCAGTAAAAGGCAAAAAGACCTCAGCTATGTGGGAACACTTGAAATTGAGTGAAGGCAGTGGGCTAAATATGAACTTCCAAACTTGTCCACTAGGGTGCACAGCAAGCATGAAACCTCACCTAAATGCTCTAAGTGGTTTGCTGTTGTTTGACGGATTGAAAAACAGGGACCATACTTAGTAGTAACCGTCAATTACCTAATGTGTGTTGTTGAGTCGTTATGATGAAGCTGCTTTTTCCACATTTTAAATAGTAACGTTTACCATGATCAAAACATGCACTTAAGGTTCTTGGAGAATAGTTGCATCTGATCCACATACATTCAGAGTAATGTGGGAACAGATATTAGCCTGACATTAGCATCCTCAACCACACTTAAAACTACACAGCCGATATTACACTTCCAAAAACTGACAACTGAGAAAAGAAAGGGAGACATAACAGATCCTGTAGTTCCCAAACGCTCCAGGATTTCACACACCCTGCCTGCAAGACTTTCATTAAATCAACTACAAAGCTCCGGAGTCCAAACATCGTACTCAAAACAAGAGCCATCAATCTGAACGGTGCACAGATTTCCTGAAGCTTGCTGCTGATATGTTAACACACTACTTTGTGTGATTGTTTCACAGATTTCTCGGCTGGGTTCAGATGACACCTACCTGCTACCAGACCTGCTGCAGAAAACCACTTCCTCCAGTCCTCTGCACAACGCGCTGTGCCTGCAGCAGCGAACTCATGAACTCAACTACTCACGATCTCCCACAGCCCCTGGATCCCCGACACACCAGGATCTACATGTGAGTTCAGTAGAACACAGGCCTAGTAGACAGAGAAGACTTGCAGAAACACACATACGGCATATAGAGTTTATTTATTTGACTACCTTGTCCTCTCAGTTATCAGTCAGTTTACACTATAGCAGAATTCATACTCAGCAATAATGTTTCAAACCTACTGCAAACAGTCCATGTTGATTCAAATGCTGATTAATGTCTAAAGTAACCTACCATTGGGGTGAAACTGATTAATAGTTCTGTGGGCTGTCAGTCAGAATTTTGTCTTGATCTTATCAATACACAACTTTTTTATAATACCAGGTTTAATTGAATAATTACTTAAAAACAATGTTATAAACGTTTCCCAACTGTTTTCCATGCACCAGAAAAGTTTTGTTTGAAGAAATAAATGTTAACAGTTGCATTAGTTGTGTTTGTCCACCAGAGGGAGGCGGTGACCCACTTTAGAAGCAGAGTAGCGATGTGATGCGCTCTCGTTACTCTCATATCCGTGCATCTTATATGTCCTCCTACAATTATAGAACAAAGATTTAGTAAATATATTAGGAGACTGAGGGAAAATCTGAAAATGTTACTTATGTTAGCAGAGTTGTAGTCACCGATCTGTGAGGCCATGACTAGTAATTGCATTTTCGTGTATAGAGTGAAAACCTCATACACCCTAAACATTACATCTAAAAGCACTATGCATAAAGTGACTGTCTCTGTTGTTGTTGTACTCATCAGGCTGTCAGCAGTCCTACTGGTAAAGGCACCCCTTCGTCTTCCTCTTCCTCCTTCATGTCCTTCATCGATCCAAGGCTGATCCCCATATCATCGCCACCACAGAGCCCCAGTGAGTCCATTTACACACTCAGACCACATAAATACACCAACATAAGGTGCTGCGTGCGTGCTCACATGTTGTCTGCAGGAAAAAATAACAGAAGCAGCACACAAGAAGGAATGTTGTGTAGTTGCAATAAGTTCGAGGACAATGACAGAAATTAATCAGAGAGAAATATGATAGAATTCCGTATTAATCACTGATGTTGTTAGCTTGTTAGCAACACTAGCTGCTTCACATCATGTTTATAACCCAACCCGTTGTATTTTCTGTGGCTTCCTGCTTTTGGCCAAAACATGGAGGTACATGTTTGACTTTCTGATGCATTCACTGAAAAAATATTCAAACACAAAGTAGGCTACATGTAATAAATGTATGAAAACATATTAAAAGAAAAGAAAACTGTAGAATGAAGCCTTCAAATATTTAAAATAAACAACACTGTGCTGTAAGAGTCACTCATCCAGTTTCCTTGTGAGGACTTTCATGTAAGTTTTTGTCATATTTTTTGAAAAACTTCAGATGAACAAACGTCTCCGTACATGAACGGTGTTGACATGTTGTTGACAACATGTTGTTAAAATCAAGTCACAACTGAAACTGTCAGCTTGGATTCTCAGTACAGATCTGTGTGTCTTTGAGCTGCTTAGATCAGTTTGACGTGTTCCCTCTGTTCATTTCAAATGTGACACCATCCTGACTTTTTGTTGTCTAAGTTGTCGCACCAATTATCTCCATACACGACTTTTAAGGTGCTTCTTTCCCGCAAGCCTCAGCCGACTTGTTGCTCCAGCTTCTAGATGTTTTTGCACACAGTTTACATAATCATGAGAGCAGACAGTGTTTCTATCGGTGCAGCGAGACAACACTCATGAAGACTTTGCACTGTTAACTCTTTGTTGTTGTCGTTTGATTTTGTCCCTGTGCAGCGGGCATTAAAGGTGAACCATTCAAGAGAGAGAACCACAGGAAGGGCTCCGTGGTGAATGTGAACCCGACCAACATTCGACCACAGAGCGACACTCCTGAGATCCGCAAGTACAAAAAGAAGTTCAACGCCGAGGTTCTCTGTGCTGGACTATGGGGTTTGTAGTCTCATACTGTCATAAACATCTAACCTGTGCATGCTGTAGATGTGTTTAGACGTAAACCTAAGTGCACTGTTTGAGTTTTTATTGCAGACTCTGTTATTGTTTCTTTTGGAATTCACACCAATATACAGATATGCAGGTGCTGTGTCAATAAACGCTGGTGAATTATTTGTCTCTTCCGTTCTGCAGGTGTGAATCTGTTGGTGGGGACAGAAAATGGCCTCTGGTTGCTGGATCGAAGTGGTCAGGGGAAAGTCTACTCCCTCATCAGCAGACGAAGGTTTCAGCAGATGGACGTACTGGAAGGACTCAATGTACTGATCACTATATCAGGTACATGTGCTGCGGGTTTAAGTGTACAAAAACACACTGACACAGAATGCAGGCTTTCACACGGTTACTATATTTGGTTTGTCCCACACCGAGGAGCAGACGGAAGCAGAGGAAACAGAGTGTAGTTTAGCCGGCAGCCTCGCTTATCTCTAAATATCATATGATAATGTAAGGAGGAGTGTTGTTTCTATCAAATACAACAAGTACTTTAACTCATATTCATACTCCAGGGGTGTGAGCAAATGTATGTAACTGGATTAATGCGAAGCAGGACATTACTTCATATTCATGTCTGTTCATTAAGTTACTTTAATGAATTTCATCTTTATGTCTCTGAAGCACGATTCACCTTAATTCTTCCCTCAATGTCTGCAGGTAAAAAGAACAAGCTGCGTCTCTACTACCTGTCCTGGTTAAGGAATAAAATCCTCCATAATGACCCCGAGGTGGAGAAGAGACAGGGCTGGACATCAGTAGGTGACCTGGAGGGCTGTGTACACTACAAAGTGGGTAAGTACAGACTGCAGAGGGGAATGCTGAATGTGCGCCATTTTTTCTTTCTTTCATAAGCTCAGAATTATAAACCAGAAGTATTGTTTAGCAGAGGTCTCATAGGGCAACATGTGCAGAATGTCAGAGTAAGAGCACTAATTTCAATCTCGTTTTTTCCAGTGCGCTACGAGAAGATAAAGTTCTTGGTGATAGCGTTGAAGAATGCTGTGGAGGTGTACGCCTGGGCCCCAAAACCATACCACAAGTTCATGGCCTTCAAGGTTGGTAACTTATACAACTATCTTTGGAGCCACTTTATCTGCAGAGCTCTGTGGATGGCAATACTGATCAGTGTGTGGTTTATCTATCTAACATTTTGATCACCTCTTAAATATTTGACATACTAGATGGATTGCCATGATGTTTCATACAGACATTTACTATTAATAATTACAATAAGAATACCTTTATTTATATAGCACCTTGTAGAGTTTAGAAATTTCCTTCCAAAAAGAACAAAAAGGACAATCAGGAAGAAAACTGAACGACAAAAGGCTGTTCTGGCCAAACAGAAAGAAAGATTTCAGAACATGAAATATCAAATTAAGGAAAAACGAGAAAAATAAAAGAAAATAGAGGATAAAACCATAAAAAACAAGAGCAATAATAATAACAACAACTGTAATAATACTAGTAATTAAATAAGTCAACAAATAAATAAATGGTTAAAGAGACATGATGACTGGTTTTAGTGCCAGTTTATGGTCGTGGCAGACAAAGTGAAACTTGGACTGATGAAATTGATGCTAAGTTTAATAATTCAGTGTAAAGCCAAACAAACAGATTCTGAGATGACTAAATTAGCCACCGTGCAGGAGATCTAATTCATTTCCAGCACTTGCACACTTTAACCTGTTCACTCTGTGGGTTAACTCCTTCAGTTTCAGCCTCAACTGGGTCGTCTGAAGTCGGAAAACCACCACTAGCTGGTTAACCACACACTCCTCTGTTGTCTCTTCTGTTCTCACCACATCTTTGCATATCTAGGGCAAAGCATTCGTAGATGCTGCCAAAAAAGAGTCTAATAGGGTCACTTCTGCAGCCAAACACTTGTACGTACACGTAGACATGACACATCCAGGCTACGAGCCTCAAATACACAGATTCTCCGCAGAGCTGTGTCCCATTTCTGTTTGTCCTCTGTGGCCTGAGCTACTTTCTCTTCTGTGTTACGTAGTTAACCCTCTCTCCTTAGAAAAGGCCAAAAATACACCCTGTGGAAGTGATAGCAGGACTATCTTTGGATGCCAGTTTTTATGCAGCTGATCTTCAAATTCTCAAAGTCATTTGCTGATTAATTATTAATGGAGCAGTTCCATTTAGATTGCTGGTGTCACGGTTCCTTTTGACAAGATGTCAGCGGAGGTAATGGTTGAAGTGTTCAGATTATCGTATCTAACTTTTATTGCGTCTCTCCAGTCGTTCAGGTCTCTGCCTCAAAAACCGATGTCTGTCGACCTGACGGTGGAGGAAGGCCAAAGGTTAAAGGTCATCTACGGCTCTTTGTCTGGTTTTCACGCCATCGATGTCGACTCTGGAACACCGTACGACCTCTACCTGCCTACACATGTGAGCATCGACTCTATTCTCTTTAATTGTAGCCCTATGTTTTGTCCTTAAATTTCTTTGTTCTTTCTCATTTTACCCCTCCTAGTAATCTTTCTTCTCCACTAAACAGCACGAAACATCTAAGGCATACTTAAAAACAAACAATGACCACTCTTAAGGATTGGTAGTATCTGTGGTGTCTAGTAACCTTGTATAGCATTGTCAAAACTACAAAAGCAGAGTCCTTGTACCACAAGAATAAATCTGTGGCAAGATGTAAAGGTTGCCATTTTGATGACATGTTGGAGGAGCTTTAATATAAGCTGTTGGTGACCCACTGCTGCAGAAACAGCTCCAGTCTGTTGAGGCCTACAAGACCTGAAGGTTCCTTTTGTGATCTCGCACCAGGATTCTAGGATCAAATCCTGTGAAATGCAAAGTGCAAAAAATCATGTTCTGGGAAGTCAACACCTTGAACTCCTCATCATGCTCCTCAAATCATTTCCAACCAATGTGAACAGTGTGGCAGGGTGCAATATTGTGCTGAACGAGGTCAATGCCATTGCTCACCGGCACCACCATTGTCTTAAAGATGTTGATCTCCAGTAATGCGTAGGTAGGTGGTGCCTTTCAGACGGACAGGTCCAGGGTTTTTCTTTGTCAGAACATTACTCGGATCAATGTTCTGCGGTAGATTTTGGCACCATAGTGCATCTTTGCATCATCGTTTTTCCTGGATGTACAACACACACATCCCTGGCCAGTTTCACCAGTCGTGGCCCATTCTTTAAACCATCATAAAACGTTTCTTGGGATCTTACCCAACAAGATGTCCTTTGTTGTCTTGTTGTATTGAAGAGGATTGGGCATCCCAAATCGTGTCACCCGGTTGTAGTTTGTCCATCAGCAGGTACTCAACACTGCTGACTGATTAAGATTCTCTGAACGATTTGGTTCCTGTCAAACTCATCCATCCATTCATTAGCTCCTCCCACCAGTCTAATTCACAATCACCAGTTAACGTAACATACATGACTTTTGACTACTGGAGGAAGTCAAAGCACACACAAAAAACCCACATACAGGACCAGAACCTGAACCTGGAACCCTTTTCCTCTGAGCTGTGACCATGTCAAAGTCTCTCAGGTCTTTATATCTGCCCAAAACTACATAAACTACTTACCGTCCAATATATCCCAGACATGCTCCGTTACCATGAGATAATCGGTGCCTTTGCTTCATCATTCGGAGGTCGTAACGTTTTAGTTGAAAAACCCATCTAGCGTTGATCTTTTTGAGATACTTCAGAGAGTATTACATATTAACGATCTCCGATATCTGCCCATGATATAGATAATATCCTCATTAACGCCGGAGCTCTCCATTAAATCTGACTTTTACCTTTCCAGCTGTTATCTCACCAGTCAGCTGTACCGCCTCCCTCCCCTCAGTTTGTGAGGTGAACCTCCTGGTCCTCCTCCCACTCAGTCTACACATGTCAGTCACTGCTGTCTTTTATCTATCCTGTTTTCCTGGTTCCACCTCCCTCCACTCTCCTCCCACACAGTCTGTAGCCGTCAAACTCGATTCTCTGTCATCCCTCCTTTCCATTCTTCCTCCCACGCTCTCACTCTGCCATCTAATGCAGTATTATTCATTTGTTCATTTTCCCCTAATTTTCATCGTCTCTCTTTCTACATTTGCTAAATTATTATTGCCCTTTCTCTCTCTCCCGCTCTGTGTTTGGTCTGTGGGCAGGTAGAGCAGCTGCAGAGTTTCGTGACTCATGATCCACATTTCTATTCAGACGTTGACTGCTTTGTCCCTCGTGCGGTGCTGGAACTTTTATGAAAACTGTAGAAATTGATCTAATGAAGCTCGGGTCAAAAAAAACGCGTGCAGATCTTCAGTTTGTATTATAATGTGGCTGTTTGCTGACAGATTGAAGATTCGTTTTATTGGTACTTCAGCTGAATACTTGTTTCTGGGTTTCTTTTGATATAATAGGTATATTTTGAAAAGTACTTAAAAGGGCACTGCAGGTTCATAACAGAAAGCTTTCTTTATTAACAGGAGGTGTGTAGTTTAAAAGGAATATATATGATTTATTAGAAATATGGGCATTTTGGTTTCTAAAGTCAAAGCAGTGTTCTTCACATAGCCCACAGTTTCATGCAAGTATAATGTTACATTCCCGCAGCACTCCTTAAATTAAGTCTTTTGCTTCTTAATTCTTCTGAGGTCATTCATAAGACTTTACCAACTTAATCCTCCCACACATATTTTTCCATCTCTTGAGGGAAATAAGCTATAAACATGTAAGTTTATGCACATTCAGCAGATACAGAGCACTATTTGCCTTAATTTGTTGATCCGATTAAGTCCCTTAGGTTCAATATTTACTTTCCCATCAGCTCGGTTTTGTTCTTGACTAACTCCTGAGGAAATATCTGTAGTGGGTTTTATCAGCGGATGAATATGTTTGTTGTAGATCTGAGGACGGGACTATGGAGGCTAACGCTAAGCAGCTAACTGACAAAAACTGACTGAAGCCAAAACCAGAACACTGAGCTGAAACCTGAAACGTTCCATCTAACTGAAGGTGTCGGGTTTTAATTCACCTCAACCTCATATAAAAAAAATGAATGAAAAACTGAAAATTAAGACTTTATTTCATTCTAACTCATAAAGTGAGATGAAGTAATTGGCTGATAGGAGCTGCAGAGTCAAGTGATCGTTCTGGTTTGTCACTTCTGACATTTACAGCGTTTACATAAAAGGAGTTTTGTGATCAGTATTGATCACAAAACTCCTTGATATACTCAACAATATTGATTCCAAGCCATCAGTACTTGCAAATTGGTAAATAATCATCTCGGTCTGCCTTTAAATTAATTTCATTCTCTGCTGTGGCACATCAACACTTTTATTTTGCAGCATAAATAGATTGTGATCAACCCTCACAAAAGCAGTTCAAATCGACAAACTGAGTCATACTAAGTTGAAATTCTTGATCCATAACTACAGATACAGCATCTACCAGGGGTTGATCGATATGTTTGTTCAGGGCCGATGCCTGTTATTAGTAATCAAGGGGACAGTTTACCGATATTTGGAAAAGACTTAAAGGAAAAATTAAAATCTTCGTGTCAAAAGTCAAAATGCCCTCGTTTATTTCAGTTTTTAACATTTATCCTTCAGTGTTTATAGGCTGGGCTGCAAGGTGGCTCGGTGGTTAGCACCGTTGCCTCACAGCATAAAGGTCGTCGGTCGCGTCCAGGTGAGGAGGGATCTTTCTGCGTGGAGTCTCCATGTTCTCTCCGTGCAGCGTGGGTTCTCTCCGGGTTCTCCAGCTTCCTCCTGCACAGTCCAAAAACATGTTGAGGTTAATTGGTGATTCTAAATTGTCCGTAGGTGTGAATGTGAGTGTGCTTGGTTGTCTGTCTCTAAGTGTAGCCCTGTGATAGACTGGTTACCTGTCCAGGGTGTCCCCTGCCTTCACCCTGAGTCAGATGGGATAGACTCCAGCCCCCCATGACCCTAGTGAGGATTAAGCGGTGTATAGATGATGGATGGATGTTTATAGGCTATTGCTGGTGACCAGTCAGTTAGTGCTGAGACCAAAGTAGCACATTTTTAGATTCATTAATTTTTATCAGAAATGGGTTATGAAAAAATACAGATTATTGAAAAATTGCTGAACATTGGATTCGATCATCGGTATTGACTGTTTACTGTCCCATTTTGTCTCTACATTTCTATGGTGTTCTTAATGTACAGCTGACATGTGAACTAAATAGACTCACACATGGTAAACCATCCACAGGTTAACTGCATTTGGCGACTTCATATTCATGCAAAGTGTTTCCACAAACCTCAGGGTGTGTTGGTAACATCCTTAAAATTTATTCACAAGAATCAGACTCGTTCGACTTTTAACGGCTTCCCAAAGTCTTTAAAAGCTTTTTTTTCCATCTTCAAAAAGGCTGCAAATGAATGTGTGTTTTTAAATGCGAAACGAATCGCCCACTGCTAGTAGAATTACAGATACAGCAGGTCATTTTTTTTTCTTTTTCCTCCCTCTCTCCTCTGCTGTATGTGGGCACGTAAAGCTCGCTGTAGCCTCTGGTGACTCATATTCACAGCGAGATTCTGACACATTCTGGTAAATATGTTTCAGCAAGAACTGGAGAAGCTCGAAACTCAAGATGTGAAGTATTAAAACTTCATTTTGGGGGCATTTTCACTGCAGCCTGTTGTGCTGAGTGTATTAGCAGTGTTTATGATACATATACGGCAAGATATAGTCGTTTATTTTAGTGGGTTTGCAGCAGACTACTTTATATACAGCACACATGGTGTCGAGTGGGCGGCTGGAGCAGGAAAGACGTCTTTAACTCTCGGGATCGCTGATAACGATTCAGCTCGAAATGTGGGCTTTAAAGTGTAAGGAACAGATGTTTGTGGGCTGCAAGTTTAGTTTTTTTAAGCTAACAGTTTTGTCATTGAGGTGGATGAATGACGTCAGCTTGTCCTTCATTCATATCCTCACTATCTGTTCATCCACCTCTAAAATGTGCTACTTTCCATAAGCAGGGAGGAGACGGAAAGCTCTAAAAATACACCCCTCCTGTCCTCCTTCTCTCGCGATCATTAACTCAGCGTGAGTCCTGACCTGCTCTCGCTCCTGTTGAATTTTTTTTTTTTTCTCCCTCCTCCTCTGGTATATTAAGGGAATCTGCACCCAGCTGCCTACTACACCGGTGCCTTATTCTGCTGCTGCCGCCGCCGCCGCCGCCGCTGCTGCTGCTTCGTTATCATTACTCCTGCCTCCTTTTCCTCCAGACACACTTTTAAACCCACTCACTTACACTTTATCTGAATGCTCTGGAGGACGTTTCACACTCAGACTCATTCGGACTCACACCTTCTCCTCTCATGTGCACATCTTCCCACACACACACACACACCTTCTGCATCGCATTCGCTCTAAACACACATTTCTGCTTCCTTATCGCTGTTGAAAGCACTTCACCTCTTCACAAGTCAAACCCTCACTTGCACACACACACACGCTGCACTCACCCACATAAAAAACACACATTCACTCACAAACACACACACACACACACAAGCGTCTCACGTTTTCGCCTGCGAACTATGTAACGATGCTGATTCCAAGGCAGAGGATTAAGATCGCGCTGCGTCTGTGGATGCCCGTTCTCATGCTCAGGATTGTCGTGGCTCAAACTCTGGTAACGTATCAGATCCTGTGTTTGTAACCCAGAACAGAACTTTTTTTCTTCCTGGAGGAGTTTTTTTTATCTATTCAGGAATCTCCTGTTGAGGGAATGTAGCGCTTAGTTCCTTTTCTTTCTCGCTGATTTGTAGTGACACAGGTGTTGATGTGCTGTTTCTCTTTATGTTTGTGTTGTGGTTATAATTTCCCTTTTAGATGAAGGTTTCAGACCTGGTTTGGGGTTTGATAACTGCTTTTGAGCTGTTTCAGTCGTGTTTCAGAGCAGTTTTAGATGTGGTCAGAGGAGCGACTCTGAACTAATCTGAGGATGTTTCCAGAACTGCTGCGTTAAATTGAGTTAAATTAGTTATAAAATTAGCTGTATCTGAACTGTTAGACTGGTCTGAACTACTTCGGTAAATGTTTTAGATATGGTTGGTGAAACGTTGCTGGATAAACGTTCCTGAACTGTTAGATTAATGTATGTAAACCAGCAGATCGATGTTTTTGATGTGGTAGGAAAAAGGTTTCTGAATTGGTTAAATAAAAATCTGAACTGTTAGCTGTGTGTGTTTCTGAACAGTTAGATAAATGTTTTCGATGTCCTAAGAGAAAGGTTTTGAATTGTTTGATTATGTTTCTAAACTGTTCCATAAATGTTTATGAACTGTCAGATAATATAATTGTTGGTGAATGTTTCAGATGTGGTTAGACGACCACAGAATTTTGAGATATTTTCAGAACTACCAAGATAAATGTAGTTAGATTGATTAATTTTTAGCTGCCTGCCTTGTTTGGAGAAATGTTTCTGAACTGTTAGATGTATGTTTTTGTGATGTGTAAAGAGAAAGCTTTCTAAACTGGTCCAGGAACTTGAATTTAGTTAGATGAACGATTCATCTAACTGCTGAAGAAATGCTTATTGACTGCCAACAGAAAGTTCAGTTTTTGGTTACTGGATAAAAATTTTTCAGTAAGTGTTGCAGAAGTGCTTTCATCACTTGTTGACCTGTGCAGCTGCCAAGAGGTTTTCCACACAAAAAATATCAGCAGGAGAATCTCCCTGTCTGACTCATTTGGGGTTTTGGTCGATTCCTGCAGCACGTGGCGCTGAACCGACCTCCTCTCATCTTTAAAATAGGTGTCCTCCTTCTGCGCAGAAAATCCATTCACATTTGAGAAAATCCCCTTCTGTCCCTCTTTGAGCTCTTTTTCTCTTTCTCCTCCCGATACTTCTAATTCTAAGTGGATCATTCTTGCTCATCTAAACTGTATGTAAACACTGGTAGATGGTAACGTGGTGACCCAGGAGTTGGACGTCAGTCTTTGGTTCCACCATGAAACATGTTGTCAGAAAACATGTAAACATCATAAGAGACTGTACAGTATTTATAGCAGACATGTGTCCTTGTGTTTTTTGATATTTCATCAATGAATAAGTTGGAAATCCTGTTTGTTTTCCAGATCCAGGGTTCTATCCGTCCCCATGCCATCATCATTCTGCCCAACAAAGCAGGAACAGAGGTTCTGGTTTGCTACGAGGACGAGGGCGTCTACATCGACACCTACGGCCGAATCACCAAGGACACGGTGCTGCAGTGGGGGGAGATGCCTGCGTCTGTCGGTAACTTAC